TTGGTGCCTGCAGACATAACGTATTCCCTTCGCCTCTGTTCCTATAGTAATGTTTAAAACCCTGCCAAGTGTGACAGTTAGTATCTCAAAAAGCTTGCCCAGATCTGTTGATCCTCAAAAATCGCTCAGTAAGGTGGTTGACATGTTGCGTAACACTTCACGTAGAGGAAACTGCTTTATTCAAAGACCAGGCGCAGCAGGGCAAAGGAAGAGGGTGCTTGGGCACTCCAGCTACCATCTGACTATGTGGTCCCAACATGAGTGCATTCTTGTGCTAGAGCTCTATTTCCTTAAAGCCTCCACTGTTGCTAATAATTGTTCTATCAATAGTAAGGAGTCAAGATATGAAATTCGACTTACAGAACTTGCAAGGAAAAAACTCTATAGGAACAAAGATCAACCCAGCCCACAGAGTAGGACAGTGTGTGTACATATGAAGCTTTGGGAACTTCAGGGGATTAATAATCTGTTTGCAAATTACTCAGTGTCAATGCTGCTATGTCACCACTTAAACAGGCCTCAGACATGGCTGGTGATGCTATGGAAGTGTCTATAAGTAAAGACCTGTGTGACACATGCTTAGAATTACGGACATCTCAGCTAAATGGCCATCCTTTGGGGTTTGCAATCACGCATGCTATAGATGAGTAAGACGGGAGACTCTAAGAATGTTCTTTGAAAAGTCAGATACCCTCGGCCCCTGAGGATGGAATGCTACGTAATGAAGTCATGCACATTCCTCACTGCTGGATATTTTCTTTTTGCTCCTATGGGCATGTAGAAATAAAGGGATCCTGAATACTGGGGAAAGTTATTTTATTTTATGGAAAATTGAAAAAGCAACGATAAGAAAACTAAAACAGCCGTATTATTTTAGTAACCCAACAACAGCACTGTAAAAATCCTAAATCTTGGTGCTATGTTATATCATGCCTAGATCCAAGTATTTCTGGATGAACTTTCCTATTTTAAAAATGGGTAAAAGAAACCCCAAGTCCTTGATTCAGCCTTTCAGGTCACATCAACACTCCTGGTGCTTAAACACAAATGCTGATCCTTGGGTTGACTTGCAATTAGTGCCCTGAATTTAACCCTCAGATCAGTGTCTATAAAACTGGCTGTAAAAGAGGTGGATTTTCAAAGTAACACACAGAGATTTAATCCCTTGATTCCCATTACTGTGAGTAAGAGCTGTGACTCTAAATCCCCTTGCAGCTGACCCAAAATTTACCCCCTGCTGCCTCGGAGTGCCAATTAAATAATAAAAACCAAAACCGTGGTCAGATGTAATTAGTTTGAGAACGGAGTTTATAATTTTCCTCATGCCAAGCAAACAAGTTAACCCCTTTGGTGACATATACAGAATAATCTGGACAAAGGGAACACAAATCTCAAGTCTGAATATTTCTTGTGCTATTTGCCAGGAAGTTGTAATATTGAAAAACTGTGCTCTTCTGAGAATGGGAAAACAAGCACATAAACTCTGGTTCCAAATGGTTGGAAGGGCAGTTTACGTGGTAAGGATGTTTTTTTCTTTCATTAAGAAAAAAAAAACAAACAAACGAACTTTCAAGACTACGCTTGATCCACATGTCTTTGAAAATGTATTACTTCTTAAAAATATAATTCTGATAGGAACAGACTTCAGCTGTGTAGCAGGCAAAGCTGCAGAAGAGAAAGTTCTTGAAAGACTGCTGGGTGTTTCTTGGCACAAACCACTTCTAAAGAATATCAAGCTCAGTGGTTCGTGAAGCAAAGCCAAGTCCCCTGTCCCACCCATTCCTGGGATGAGGGCTTCTCCATGGTGACCCTGCATCAGGGTTCCTTTGCACCCCTCTGCTTGGTTAACGAGGACTCAACTGAACTGCCCTTCTGTAAACAAACCCTTTCTGCATTTTTCTTTCTAGACACAATTGAATTGTGTCAGATGGTATAGTAGGAAAAAGGCAAAGGTTATTTGACTTTAAGGATATGGGCTAGAGCGGGTGAAGTGATGGTTTTGTTTCTGCTGCTGTTTCTGCTTCTTTAGTTTGGGGAGGAGGATAAGGAAAGGGGAGGGAGATAAGGCTAAAGATGAGGTTAACAAACACACCCTCCCACATAGGGAATACTTCATGTCAAGCCACTGGTCTAGTAGCTCCATCTTCTTATTTCAAAATTCTCCTATTTTACTCGACCAAATATTGCAAACATGATTCCACCATGTTGGTTTCAGTTGGAAGAGCCTGGCACGCAAATCAGGGAAGTTAAGTTGTGACACTGAAGAATGACAAAGCAACATCCCAGGACTACTGGCTGAACGGGAACCCTGTGGTCATTGAGACGACCTTCTCAAACTTCCTGTTCAGTCCTCACTGGGACACTGGAGGGTATTTGTACGTGTACGTACGTGCGTGCGTGCATGCGTACACGTGTGTGTGTGTGTCAGGAAACAGCAAAGACAAATAATGAACTATAGTTATAATGAAGAAAAACATACTTTTTTCATGAAAAATGTCAGACTTCATACTGATAATCTGTAGGAGCTACATTTAAACCATTTATGAAACAAAAAGATTGCTTTTAAAGAGATTATAAACTGGGAGCCAGAACAACTGACTTGAACGTATTTTGATTCTCAAGTTTCCTTGTAAAAATATTCACAGAAATTGGTGGACATCTTTTACATACAACTCAACTTCTGTCATTTACAACATAAATCATTTAATGTAACATTTGCAACCTTAGAAAGGCAGACATATTTAATCCAAGTCCGTTTATAAATTCCAATTTCACATGGATTAAAAACTGCAGATAAATTAAGTCACAATAATATCCTGTACATGCATTAAGGCTGGTGACTGCTAAAGTCTCTTGGGAATCTACAAATAGGAAATCACACGCAGATTACTGGGTCGGAAGAGTGTCTACATTGTTAAAAAAATCTTGCTTTTTTTTTTTTGGTGATGCAGATTTCAACAGTAACTCTGGAAAACTGTGAAAAATGTTATTTAAAAATATATATGTATATGCTACTGCACAGTTTCAAAGATGTGATTCATAAATAATGTTGGCTGCACTGATTAATTTTATAACAATTACTGCACTTCCAAGTTGATGCGAACACGCAGTGACTTATACTCAATATTAGGCACTAGTAATATCCTTCAGGCGTACTACAGTTTTATGTTAGCTGTATTGTACATATATATTTTTAAATGTATGCATTTATACAAACTGTGTATATTATGTATGGGGTGTTAGAAATGTACACATCACTGTTATATAATACACACATCATTGTTGTACATATTAGGATACATTTTAGTGCAGAAAGTCTCATAGCATTGCATTCCATGTGTTCAATCTAGTACACAATTTGTCAACTCTTCAGAATATTTTTCCAGTACATTCCTCATTAGACAGTGGGTTTCAAGTTTCCATTTGCAATTTGAATGTTTGCATATTTCCAGAAATCTCTGTCTTAACCAAACCTCTCTCCAGGCACGACTCTGCAAGTGAGTCTGATCTGTGTGGAATAGTATCATCAAAAATGCCAAATTTTCATTAGGAATATACCTGGGCTACTCCCTCTCCAAGGTAATTGAACATTGTGATAAAGGATAATATCCATTCAGGTCATAGACAGATATGGTCAGTTGAACTTGTATTGAACTTCAGAGACAAGTGTAGGTCTTCAAATAGAAAGACGTAGTAATGAAAATTATTTGCTTAAATTTGAGAGTCTCTGGAAGGATATACATCAAACTGTGAGCAGTGGTTGTCTCAGGCAGAAGGAACAACCAGGGACTTACACTTTCTACTTTCTACATTTCTGCACCGTTTGAATTTTTACAATAAGCAGGTATTACTTTTCTAATCAGAAAACACGAGATATTTCAACTTGAAACAAAACTAAACAGGCCAGGCATGGTGGCTCATGCCTGTAATCTCAGCACTTTGGGAGGCCGAGGCCAGAGGATCGCTTGAGCCCAGGAGTTTGAGACCAGCCTGGGCAACATAGTGAGACCCCATCTCTACAAAAAATAAAGAAAAAATTAGCTGGGTGTGACAGCATGTGCCTATGTTCCCAACTACTTGGGAGGCTGAGGCAGGAGAATCACCTGAGCCCAAGAGTTGGAGGCTGCAGGGAGCCACGATTGCACCACTGCACTCCAGCTTGAGCCAGATCCGGTCTCAAAACCAAACCAAACCAATAACAACAGCAGCAACAACAAAACTAATTAAAAGGAACAAGTTATGAATGACTTTCACAAGCAACCACAGGAGGGTGGTTCCTAACCAAAGTCGTCTATGTCAAACTCCACAGAAACTGCTGTACCAACGTGCTCCGCAGATGAAGCAAGAGACAGTGACAAGAACTGCAGGCTCTGACCACTGCCCACAGGGGCAAGTTTCAAGAAGTCGTCTTGGGAAATGTGGGCCATCAGGGTGCTGATAAAACAGTGCTGGCCCAACCAGCCAGAGGCCACCTGTCAAATGAGGCTTCACAGGGAAGCTCATCACATAGATGCCACAACAAAGCCTGCAACTTTCAAGGTGGGCAGGACCAGAGAAGCTCTCTGGGGATGCGGGACAGACCTTGAGGACCATCCCTTTATGTCTGAATATTTAATCAGGATTCTTCAAGTAGAACAAAGTCTCAGTCCTGCAAAAAAAATGACTCAAAATTTCTTAAGTTAGATTCAAATTTCTGACACAGGATGGAATTGTGAACTCTGTCAAAAATTAGTGGAAGGGCTGGGCATAGTGGCTCACGCCTGTAATCACAGCACTTTGGGAGGCAGAGGCAGATGGATCACCTGAGGTCAAGAGTTTGAGACCAGCCTGGCCAACATGGCAAAACCCAGTCTCTACTAAAATTACAAAAATTAGCTGGGTACATTGGTGCACGCCTGTAATCCCAGCTACTTGGGAGGCTGAGGCAGGAGAATCGCTTGAACCCAGGAGGCAGAGATTGCAGTGAGCTGAGACTGTGCCATTGCACTCCAGCCTGGGCAACAGAGCGAGACACTGTCTGAAAAAAACAAACAAAAACAAAAAAACGTGAAAGGGTTGTAAGAAGCACCTCTGTTGGAGACATGTAAAATGGAAGTCTTCTTAATATTCTCAGATGCTTGAAGGCCAAAATCAAATGCAGATTCCACAAGCCCTTCACTTGCTTATTTTCAATTAATTTCAAGTCATCTAAGTTTAATCATTTATATGATTTTGATTCAGTGCTCAGAGCTAGGGAATTACAGTGATCTTATTTCTCACCTACAGATCAGGCTGACAAAAATGTTAATGCTGCAACCCAACCTGTAAGAGTATCAGTGAACGTATATAATCATGAGAGTAACAGTGAATGTGTATAATCAGCAGCTAGTCTTAAGTATTTTGTGCCGCCATCACCTTGAATAAATGGATTATTCCACAGACTGCACTGATTGCCTTTCTCAGACTGTCCTGGTGCAACTTTATCAAGCAAGAGGCCTCAAGGACATTATTTTTGTTTCTAAAGTGTGGCAAGATAGACCTTCTTTTTCAGAAGTTATTTTCTTTTCACCAAGATTTTATATCCAAATATATTTAACAAGACAACTAAATCTAGGGCATAAGACATTATAAAAGAGAAAACGTTAGACAAAAACTGTAAACAAGATGTCAAAAAAATCTAAAATGTAAACTTAATTTTAAAAAAGAAAACAAGAAAAAAACCCAGAGCAAGATGTAAACATACTAGACGCACAGGACACAGGAAGAGGCTCTGGTTGCTGCTGCCCCAGACAAGAACTGGGATCTGCACTGCAAGCAGCCTGCTAATCAAAGCCTGAAAAATCACCCCAAATCAAAACGCACCCAAGGACTGCAGTGGCACATTCTGCATGAGGAGTGAGAGGATCAGACAGCATTATCACGGCAAATAGCTCTTAGCCTGGAAAGCAAAGGATTCAGGCTCCTACTGAAGGGACATTCTAGGTAATGGCCCATTTAGCCAAGAAAATCTGTAAGAAAGCTATTGGTGGAAAGAAAATACTTGAAACAGATTGACTGACAAATGCCATGTGCTTCTACAGCATCAAGTCACAGTGGCGAGAAGAAGAAATGCATGTGTTATCACAGGTGCGGAAAACCTCAACTCCTAACTGAGCTCCAACACAGTCACTGCTGCTTTAGCATCCGTGAACTAAAAGTTTTTGCCAAATCTCAGTGCCATGTGCATACTACTTGGGGGCGGGGCTGAGAAGGGCTGTGAGTGTCCATCATTTTGCCTGGAATGCATTTAGTTGATAATAAAATCAGATGGGGGAAGGGAATTAGAGGAAGAGTCGGGTATTTGGTAACATGCAATCTAGTAAACTTCTGGCACAAAAATATCTGGCTTATTTTCATTATTCAATTACCCATTAATACATATCGATCAAAAAATAATTGGGGAATAGTATATTAATACTGAAAGTAATCAACAAGGTAAGAGCAGGTCCATCTTAACTGGCAGTCAAGCTTTTGGTGTGCTGTATTGCAACTGGTTAACTAACCCATGAGATTTTGGTTGAATTTTCTAAGAAGTCATGGTTTAGCACTGGAATAGAAAGTGTGTGTCTGTGAATGTGTGTGAGTATGGTGTATGTGTGTATTTCCTCTAATTAGAAACCTCTGATCACTTTGTCTAGCCTGGGATTATGGAAACTAGACAAAGAAGGTGTGTTCTGAAGAGCTGTGTATCTTACACACATACACAGGCAGCTTCTTATATACCCACACATACAAACACACATGCCCTGGAAAAGACCATTGTTCAATGCTGAGGAAATATTCACCGCAGTTTGATAAATGCTGTGGCTGGGAATTTCAGTAGCACAGTGTCAAAAAATGTTGAGCCATCTATGGAGACCAGAGCCCAATCCGGCTCCAGGTTGAGGTCCCTATGACAGGTGGGTGCTGTTCCGCAGCCAGTGCAGGCCCTGTTGGGAGTACTGGACCAGATGCTCCATGCTGCTGTGAAGGGTGACTGGCCCCATGAGCAGATCCAAGTCGTTGAAGAATTCTAGGGGACAGAGAGAGTTGTTAAGAATGCCACACATGCTAGGTGTGCTACCCTGAGCAACCGATTGGATGTAAGAAAAAATTCCATTCATGGTCTCTATATAAATCAAGGATTCTCTGTTCCATCATGTAACTTTAGCATTCCTTTGAACAAAATAAAATCCAAGAGCGGACAACTCATCCTATGTCCAAATAAATAAATACACTCTATCTGCCATTTCTAAGTCAAATGAATAGCATTTGCTTAGCCAAAAGCAAAGAAAATCCATATCCTCCGGGTGCATTCTCCTAGACTAGTAATGCTTCCTCCACTCCTGAATGTGAATGTGGCTCTGTCGCCTCTCACCCTGTACTCAATTCTGGCATTTGCTGAGCCCCTGAAGTGAGTCCAAGGGGTGGGGCTCCAAGCTCCTAGGGGCAAATCAGAGATGGGCCACGAGACATCTGGACTGAAGTCACCTTCTAGCTTTTGAACATTCTCTAGGTTTGCCCTTTCACTAAACATTTATGATGTGGCCGGACATGGTGGCTCACACCTGTAATCCCAGCACTTTAGGAGGCTGAGGCAAGTGGATTGCTTGAGGTCAGGAGATCCCAACCAGCCGGGCCAACATGGCAAAACCCCATCTCTACTAAAGATACAAACATTAGCCGGGTGGTTGTGGCGGGTGCCTGTATTCCCAGCTACTCAGGAGGCTGAGGTGGGAGAACAGCTTGAACCTGGGAGGTGGAGGGTGCTTTGAGCCGAGATTTCGCCACTGCACTTTAGCCTGGGTGACAGAGCGAGACTCCACTTCAAACACAAACAAACCTTTATGATGTACCAAGGCACTCCACTAGGTGCAGGGGGTAAGGGAGGATACCAGGATGAATCATGTGTGGTCTCAAATCTGTTGCCTCAAAGATCACAGTTTAGTGGCTGATAGAGACAAACACATTCATATGGCTACTCTGCTGTCATGGCTGGTTACTGAATACACTTCTTGGGAGTGAGCGTCTGGGAGAAGTGTCTCAAAAGTACAGCGATGAGAAGTGGCTAGGAGGTTGGTGAGGGCAGGGATCCAGGGGTAGAACAGAGGAAGAGGTAGCAGTAGGGGAACAATGGCAAGTTTGCACTGGACACTTGGCACTGAGCCTTCAGGGAGGAGAGATCTAGCAGGCAGCTGGCAGTGCCATCTGGAGCTTGGCCTGCTCCGTTTCTCCCAAACTGGACAGATGTATTTCTATACATTTGTCCTTTCTGTTCCGTCCACCAGTGACACCCAACCCACCCATTTCAGTCACTCAGCTGCTAAGTGTTTTTCTTTCTTTTTTTCTTGAGATGGAGTCTCACTCTGTTGCCCAGTGTGGAGTGCAATGGTGTGATCTTGGCTTACTGCAACCACTGCCTTCCAGGTTCAAGCAATTCTCCTGCTTCAGTCTCCCAAGCAGCTGGGATCACAGGCCTGTGTCACCATGCCTGGCTAATGTTTGTATTTTTAGTAGAGACGGGGTTTCGCCATGTTGGCCAGGCTGGTCTCGAACTCCTGACCTCAGGTGATCCACCCGCCTCAGCCTCCCAAAGTCTAAGTGCTTTTCAAAGCCCTGGTCCATTGTTCCATGCCAGCTCCTCTAGCAAGCTCCTCCTGGTGGCCTCTGACCCCCCATGGCATTCTTATTGGATTTTCAGAGTACATCACCTCTAGGCTGCATGTTATGTACTATGTGGTTTTATTTATAATCGCATGCACTCTGCTATACATTCCTTATCTCATCCTGAACATCTTGCTCTTGACTTTGGAGGGTTATGATATCATAGGAACATAATTTGCATTCCATGGCCTGGAAGTGAACTCAGATTTGCACTCTTACCTGCTGCTGCAGGGACAGCAGTAAATTAGTAAAATCTTGCAGGAGAAGAGTTAACAGTGTAAGTCAATATATAGAATAATCTGTATCTCAAAATAATCTATACCTGTTGACCCCAAAATTCTATTCCACAACTCCCTCCTAAGAAAACAATCAGGCCGGGTGCGGTGGCTCAAGCCTGTAATCCCAGCACTTTGGGAGGCCGAGGCAGGTGGATCACAAGGTCAAGAGATCGAGACCATCCTGGTCAACATGGTGAGAGACCATCCTGGTCAACATGGTGAAATCTCATCTCTACTAAAATACAAAAAAAATTAGCTGGGCATGGTGGCGTGTGCCTATAATCCCAGCTACTCAGGAGGCCGAGGCAGGAGAATTGCCTGAACCCAGGAGGTGGAGGTTGCGGTGAGCCGAGATCGTGCCATTGCACTCCAGCCTGGGTAACAAGAGCGACACTCCATCTCAAAAAAAAAAAAAAAAGAAAAAGAAAACAATCAGAAATATGGCTGGGTGCTCAAGCCAGTAATCCCAGCACTTTGGGAGGCTGAGGTGGGTAGATCACAAGGTCAGGAGTTTGAGACCAGCCCGGTCAGCATGGTGAAACCCTGTATCTACTTAAAAATACAAAAAAATTAGCTGGGTGTGGTGGTATGCACCTGTAATCCCAGCTACTAGGGAGGCTGAGGTGGGAGAATCGCTTGAACCGGGGAGGTGGAGGTTGCAGTGAGCTGAGATTGTGCCATTGCATCTCAGCCTGGTGACAGAGCAAGACTCTGTCTCAGAAAAAAAAAAAAATCAGAAATATGAACAATGACTTATGTAGGGATATTTAGCACAGCATTATTTGTCACAGTGGAAAAAAATTGGAAGGAACTTAAATGTCTAACAGTAAGAAAATGGTTTGAGAACTCAGGATACTTTATACAATCAATATAGTAGGCTAGTGTTATAGAACCACTGTAAACAGTGTTTTTGAACAAGTTAGTGACATGAGAAAACGCCTGCTATTATGTGAGATGAAGAAAGGATATACAACTGTATGAATATACACTATGATCCTATTTTGGTGAAATAATGTATATTGGGAGGAAAAACAGTAGCAGAAACTTCAGTAGAATGTTTATGTAGTTACTTCTTTCTGATAAAATTATTGATGATTTACTGGGCACGGAGGATCATGCCTGTAATTCCAGCACTTTGGGAGGCTGAGGTGGGCGGATTGCGAGGTCAGGAGTTGGAGACCAGCCTGGCCAAAATGGTGAAACCCCGTCTCTACTAAAAATACAAAAATTAGCCGGGCGTGGTGGTGCGTGCCAGTAGTCCCAACTACTTGGGAGGCTGAGGCAAAAGAATTGCTTAAACCCGGGAGACTGAGGCACAGAATCACGTGATTTAGCCCACTGGCTAAAGAGAAAAGTGTAGGTGTGTGTATCAAGCAACTCTCGTCTCCCAAAATGTTGGGATTACAGGCGTGGGCCACCACACCCTGCCTTACGTTACTTTTATAATCAGTAAAAACAAATGTTATTCGAAATGAAAGACAGCTTACTGCTACACATAAAACTGCTTTTTTCAATTGCAAACAGGTGGCACTCAGAGTTAGTAACATTCTCATTCATTCATTCATTCATTCAGCGTTTCAGAGCTCCACCTGTGTTCTGGGCGCTGGGCTAGGTCTTGGAAATACAAAGTTGAATACGATATAGTCCATACCTTTCAGAAGCCCACTGGCTAAAGGGAAAAGAGTAGGTGTGCATATCTACAACTGCCCCGGGTCTGTCTCACACCATTTTCCACTAAGGATAGAGGGAGACAAAGGCATCAGAGGCCCCACGGGAGGGGAGAGGTCAGGAGCGTTCCCACCATTGGTGACAACTCCTCCTATTTCTCCTTTGAGAGGCCAGGAAACCCGCCCACCACTGCCCCATCAGGTGGGCCCCCGGCTCCCCGCGGGGCGCACGCACCTCGGTTTTCCTTGGCCAGGTTGTCGGCCATCTCCCAGTAGTCGTAGCTGTGCAGGATGCTGTTGGTGATGCTGACGTGGTTGGCCGCCATCTGGTGGATGCGCTGTGGGATGCTGACGATGGTCGACGGGGACAGGGCGCTGGCGTTGGAGAGGCTGCCCTGAGACCCCACGGAGCTGGCGGGAGAGGGGTTGGGAGACATGGGGGATGGGGTTCCAGTGCTCCTGGAAGGGGAGAGGTAGAAAAACCAGAGTGGAGAGGCCGGGAGCAAGCGAGGCGGGGCAGCCCCTTGGGGGAACGGGAAGCAAAGCGCGGTGGCCCAGCACCATGCATTGTCTGCCTTATGGCATTGACTTTGGAAAAGCGAACTTACTTTCCACTGGCCCCCCACGGAGACGGGACTTGGGCGGCTTTAGATGAGTTCTGCAAGAAAATAAAAACATTGACAGTGAATGCCATCTGCATGAGGTGAAACAGGTGACAGGAACGTGTTTTCAGGTAATTGCAGAGAGAAGCAAAGGCAGACGCTGCAGGCAAAAGGCACCTTCGGAGAAACTGGACTTGGGAAGTTTCCACCGCAGTTTTCTGTTCTCTCTCTCTGGAAGGGAGTTGGGGCAGCTGCCTGGACTTTGAAAGTTTAAAAGTATTTCTCTTAAAGGAAGTTGCCCTGGAATATTCCTAAAAGAATATATTAAAATTTATTTCCCTAGCAGACAGGATATTCAAAAGTTCTAGTTTACCTAAATACTCTGAGTTAGGAAGTTATTTTGCATGAATAGGGTACTTGCATCAGACCTCAGTGGGGTAAGTGAAAGGCTTCACCCACAGTCTGGGTTATGTACAAATTTTAGTGACCACATTAAATCATAATCCCAAGGGTCTGTTAAATCTTGAAGCAGTCTTTTCATTGCAAACTATTTTTTTTTTAAAGGAATAAAGAGCAGGAACTCCCTCAAATCCCCCCTTGTATACTTTATATTTAAAACTAGGACCGATTTTGAGAAACATCGACCTATCTTTACTTAATGCCCGAAAATATATGACATCATATTCTATTGTTTTAACTTAGGAAGTTTAAAGTATTTCTCTTAAAGGAAGTTGCTCTTGCATATTCCTAACAGAATTGATTAAAATATATTTCCATAACAGATAGGACGTTCAAACATTCTGTTTTATCTGAATATTCTGGCTTAGGAAGTTCTGTTGCACAAGCCAGATGCTTGTATCAGACATATAAAAGTTTTGCCTCTAGTTAGGGAAGTTGCTAAATGCACACTAAGATTTCCTCTCTGAGAACCCAATCATGCTTTTGCAGGACTGTTAAGGAAGAAAGAGGTCTTTGTGATGCTGACAGGAATTTTTCCCTTCCAGAGACAAGAAAATAGCCTCAGCCTGGTTCTCCAGAGACAACGTGTTCTTTTGGTTAGAAAGAGCTTTATGGAGTGGTGACTGATTTTTCTAGTTTTAGTGCGGGTGTTAGTAAAATGGCAAGAAATGGCCTGTCAGAACTCTTAAGTGCCACAATGGCAAGATGTAAATGTAAGGACAGCATTGCAAACCATGCCACTTTTACCTGTCTCAGGAAATACAATTATTTTCATGAGGAGAATTAGGAAAAGGAAACCTTCCTGAATAGGGGAGCTGATCCTCCCTTTTCTGACAGAATGTTATTGACACCTTTCTCAGGCTGTTGCTACTGGGCTTTGTTTCCACTTCATCCTGTGGTTCTGAGAACATGATCTATAGGATGGATGTTCTGCATATAAGAACACAAGGGGAGAAAGGCTTGGGAGTTGCAGAAACAGTTCAGTAAAGGCTACTGAATGGAGAAAGAAGGTGGTGGCTCAAGCCTGTAATCCTAACACTTTGGGAGGCCAAGGCGGGCGGATCACCCCAGGTCAGGAGTTTGAGACCAGCCTACCCAATATGGTGAAACCCCGTCTCTACTAAAAATACAAAAAATTAGCTGGGCATGGCGGTGTGTGCTTGTAGTCCTAGCTACTTGGGAGGCTGAGACACAGGAATTGCTTGAACCTGGGAGGCAGAGGTTAGGGTGAGCCGAGATTGTGCCACTGCACTCCAGCCTAGGTGACAGGGTGAGACTCCATCTCAAAAAAAAAAAAAAAAAAAAAAAGTAGTCTTGAGTTCTCTTCCTCCACCACTAAGCCCGAAGCCCAAGAAATACCGGTAGGAACAAAGGTCTTTTTTATAGAGATAGCGATGTACTGATAAACCATATTCTCTATAGCCAAATTGTTTTGGGTCCCTAAAGATTTCATTTTAGGTACTCAAAGTAGCATTTAAATAGCTTTTTGAGGCTGAGTGTGTGGCTCACAATGGTAATCCTAGCACTTTGGGGGCCCAAAGCGGTAGGATCGCTGGAGGACAGGAGTCTGAGGAGAGCCTGGGCAACCCAGGGAGACCCCATATCTACAAAAAATGAAAAAATGAGCTGGGTATGGTGGCGTGTATCTGTGGTCTCAGCGACTTGGGAGGCTGAGGCGGGAGGACTGCTTGAGCTCAGGAATTCAAAGATGTAGTAAGCTCCGATTGCCCAACTGTACTCCAGCCTGGGCGAAAGAACAAGACTCAAAAAAAAAAAAAAAAAAAAAAAGCCCTTGAAACTTTGTATGCAACTTTCAGTTATTAGGAATAAGATCTGGAGATCTATTGTATAGCATGGTAACTACAATGAATAATAATGTATAGCATACTTGAAAATCTCTAAAAGGATCATTTTAAATGTTCCCATCACAAAAATGGTAAGTGAGGTGATGAATATGTTAATTAGCTTGGTTTATTCATTCCGCAATGTATAAATATATCAAAACCTCACATTATACATAATAAGTACATGAAATTTGTTGTTGGTTAATTAAAAAAATTTCAAAAATAGCTTTTGATAAAGGGTAAATGACATTAAGTCCTGGAGGAGAAACTGATTTTCCAGTGGTGTTTTCTACCCGTTTTGTATGTATTTGTGGGCTGTGGAGAATATTAAGAACTTATATCCCTCAAAGTTTGTTGTAGCTCCTGGCAGCTTATAGAATTCAGCTTCCTTCTTTATTCAAACATTTTCCTTCACTGTAATAATTCTCTTTAGCATTAGCTCTTACGGTCTGGATTTCTGAACACCACTGATGTTGACTTTAGGTGCCTGAAGGAAAGGGAAGGCTCAGTGCTGGTTCTTGTCCTGATGACACACCACGGCCAATGGGCTGAGAAAGCGATGTTCATGATCTAGCACCTGGTTACTCTACATGCGCGATTAGGAAGATGTGCTAACATACCCCAGGATAGCCAGGCCATTAGAGAGCATCTCTAGGAAGAGGAGGCTGGGCATGAATGGATCAAATGATGACTGTGTATCTGTCAAAGGACTGGTGGAGACAGAGATGGGATAATTTCTACTTTCTTCAGATAGAGGCCCAGAAATCTCAAATGAATTATTAAAGTAAGGTTGACCTCACAACAGTACATCAGAGAAGGCTTTTAACAATTTATTCTCCCAGCAAAAATAATGTCATTCCCCAAGATAAGCAAAAGTTGGCATGGTTTGCAATTTTGTTCCTATAGCTATATACATTGCTATCTACTGTCTCCGAGTTCTAACGACTCATCTCTTACTGTTTTAAATAACACCTCTATTAAAAATTAAATTAGCTACTAGAGATAGCTAAGAGGAAATGGCTCTAAGGGGTTACTTCTAAGAAAAAGAAGCTCTAAGTGAGCATGAGGAATTTATGTGAGCTATAAAGATGCATTTCCTAGGACACTGGAATGAGTAACTTGATCTTCTTTCTTTTGAAACCACAAAAATACTCGGACAAGGCCAGCTGCAGTGGCTCATGCCTATATTCCCTGCACTTTGGGCGGGTAGAACACTTGAGGTCAGTAGTTCGAGACCAGCCTGACCAACATGGTGAAACCCTGTCTCTACTAAAAATACAAAATTAGCTGGGCATTTGGTGGGCACCTCAGAAGGCTACTCAGAAGGCTGAGGCAGAAGAATCGCTTGAACCCAGGAGGTGGAGGTTGCAGTAAGCCGAGATCATACCGTTGCACTTCAGCCTGGGCAACAAAGAGTGAAGAAACTCCATCTCAAAAAACACAAAAATAACAAATAAAAAAATAAATAAAAATACTTGGAAAAGAAGGCAGGGAGATACAGTAGACGAGCTCTCAAAGGCCCATTCTGAGCTCTGAAAGCCAGAAGTATGGCATAAATAGGCTTAGTTTGGGGATCAGAGGTGACCTGCGTTAGCCCAAAGCAATGAATTCTACCAGGAGCTTCACAAATGACCTTGACAGGGAGACAACGGAATTTAAGGAACAATTCTGCTCCTTCACTAGACGGTACCTTGAAATAGTCGATAAGTGCTTTTGAATACTTTACAGCATGGTCCCTTTTGAGTCGAAACATCCGCCAGTACAGGAGAGCCAGGCATCGGTAACTGCAGCCGAACAGAGAAACAGGCTGAGTGTGGCCTGTGCAAACACTCATATATTTTTGTTGTTTTGTTCTAAGGCACTCAATAACTATACCTTGTTTATATATATGAAATCTTTCTACATCCGCATATAATGTCTGTGAGTGACCACCTTTTGTCCAAAAACAGAATTCAAAATTCCAGGAAGGTATTCCATCATACATTTACCACTAGATCGTTTTACAGCATTAGCTGAATCACTTTGTTGGGTCACAGGGACTGACCACTTCCTTTTCCCACCACCAGAGGGCAGTGTCTCTCCATGAGAGGCACGAGCCTTCACTGCTTAGGGCGAACCCGCTCTGTGGAAAGGCTGGCACCGCCACCTGCCTTGACTGAACTATAATTAGCTCCACTAAAGTCACAAACATGATTGTACTTTATAAACAATAAAAACACTATGCTGGGAGTAGGTGCCATCATTTTATTATTTCCTATGATATTTTGTATACCTGTTTATATGTCAGTATTCTGTCTTATATAATCATATTATTGTCATTTAGTGTATTATTCCAATATAGGACTTAAAGTTTGGAAGGGGCACAAAAGGTGTTTCTGAGACTTATCCTCTCTTCCTTGGAGCTCTTCACTCAGTTATTTGCTAACTCGGATCTGCTGCTGACATCCAGAATACCAATGTGCTGGGTACAATGGCACCATCTCCTCCTAGCACATCAAACCCAGACGGGTAACACCTGACACCTTCTTTTTTGTGTCTGTTGCTGTTATTTTTTAAAAAAATTCAACTGTTTTTACTTCACTGCTTGATAGACATGTATTCTACCCACATTCTCTGCCTTCCACTTACTGATGAGTAAGGAAGGACTGACAGGTAAACATAGGTTACCTGATCGTTTCCTTTTTTTCTGTGTCATCATTTTCAAAGTAAGTGGCTGGGCTGGGTGCTATGGCTCATGCCTGTAATCCCAGCACTTTGGGAGGACAAGGTGGAAAGATCACTTGAGGTCAGGAGTTTGAGACCAGCCTGGCCAACATACTGAAACCCCGTCTCTACTAAAATATAAAAATTAGGCTGGGCATGGTAGCTCATGCCTGTAATCCCAGCACTTTGGGAGGCTGAGGTGGGTGGTTCACCTGAGGCTGGGAGTTCGAGACCATCCTGGTCAACATGGTGAAACCTCGTCTCTACGAAAAATGCAAAAATTAGCCAGTCCTGGAGGTGCATGCCTATAATCCCAGCTACTTTAGAGGCTGAGGCAGGAGAATCATTTGGACCTGGGAGGTGGAAGCTGCAGTGAGCCCAGATCGCACCATTGCACTCCAGCCTGGGCAATAAAGCGAAACTACATCTCAAAACAACAAAACCAAAACCAAAAATTAGCCGGGCATGGTGGCTTGCACCTGTAATCCCAGCTACTCGGGAGTCTGAGGCAGGAGAATGGCTTGAACCCGGGAGGAAGAGGTGGCAGTGAGCTGAGATTTCGCCAGTGTACTCCAGCCTGGGCAACAGAGCGAGACTGTGTCTCAGAAACAACCAAAAAAAAAAAAAAAAAAAAAAACCCCAAAACCCAAAACCAACCAAACAACAACAACAACAACAACAACAACAACAAAAAACAAAGCAAGTGGCTGGCTGATATGGGGAAGTAGCATGGGTAAGAAAGGATGCGATGGGGTTCCTAGGTTCTTCACATTTTGTTCTTTTTAAAAAATTTATGTTTCATTTTAATAGGGCTTTTGTAGGGGAACAGGCAGTGTTTGGTTATTTGAGTAAATTCTTTAGTGGCGATTTCTGTAACTTTGGTGCACCCATCACCCAATCAGTGTACACTGTACCCAATGTCTTTTATCCCTTACCCCCTTCCCGTCCTTTCCCCTGAGTCCCCATAGTGCGCTGTGTCATTTTTATGCTGTTAGGTGTTTTGAGACTCAATTAGATTCTCTAACTTTCAGATCAGGTTGTGGAGTAGAATATGAGCCTTTGGAGAGAACAAAAGATCTGGATCCCTTTTACAGGAGATCTGTTGAGAGAGTGTCCTGTCATTTTGCAAGTGGAGGGGGTTATCCCTGGGAGAGGTCATGGGGAAAATGATGATCATTACTATAATGACAATCATTATCACTGTAATCATTATAAAGATAGAATGAAATTTACTACATGTAGGCTTTTTGAAAGAAATGACTTTATTATCAAAGTATAATGAGGCAGGGCTTGGTGGCTCATGCCTGTAATTCCAGCGTTTTAGGAAGCTGAGGCAGGTGGATCACTTGAGGTAAGGAGTTCGAGACCAGCCTGGCCAACATGGTGAAACCCCATCTCTACTAAAAAAAATACAAAAAATTAGCTGGGTGTGGTGGCACACTCCTGTAATCCCAGCTACTAGGGAAGCTGAGGCATGACAGTCACTTGAACCCGGGAGGCAGAGGTTGCACTGAGCCAAGATCACGCCACTGCATTCCAGTCTGGGCAACAGAGTGAGACTTTGTCTCCAAAAACAAACAAACAAACAAACAAAAATGAAAAAACCTTAATGTGTCATTTGCTTCAGTCATACTAATTCCGCATGTAAAGCAACACGTGAATTATTTTGATTGCATTTAAAATGTTAAAACACAAAACTCCACTTGGCACAGTTCAGATTCAATTACTAAACCATAGACCTGTGTGATTTTAAACCACATGCACATACAGAAAAAAAGTACCCTGTGTAACTGGCCTGTTGATTTTCAATCACTGTGAATTCAGATCATGTATGCTACCGCAGCAAACAATGATCTGGACTTTCCCTGGCCGTCAGAGCTGCTCTAGGCTTTGCATGTTAGAAGGCATTGGGAAAACTGCATTTCAGCACCTGCTTTGCCGCTATTCTAAGCTGAGACGGGCACTCACCATAATGCAGCCAGTTGTTTGTCTTCTGGTGTGGCATTGGGGCCTGAGTGGGTTTTTAGTCTCATAGCATACCTTAGGAAAAGCGGGGGAAGAACAGAATTAAAAAATTAAAAACAAAGAAATAGTAAAACAAGCTTTCTTATTAACAGAACTTCTGATGGTAGTTCTCCCTGCCTGACACTTCTGCTGATAATTCTTTCTTAAAAGCTAGCTGGTGCTGCTCCATTTTCCCGAGTGTTATATTACTGTCATGACTAGAACGTAACCACTGTTATGACTGCCTAGCTGCTTTCTGCTCTTTAACAATACGAGTTCAAACACTACAGATTGTCAGGGGTGATACCAGTTCAAGAACTATTCACGTATATGGTAACATGTCCATTTTTCCAAATTTTGATTTATGGCTGAGGGGCTGACAGATGGAGGTGAGGTTCAATCCTTCTGTGCTTACCTCTAGAATACTTTCCATTCTGGGTATGCAGAGGAATGCTTAGATTTACCCTTCTTTCTTTGTTATGGAACTCTTACTTTGACAGCTATGTAAGTGTCCTGAGTACATTTTTAATCTCTGTTTGCTTTTACAGACAGGTGCTACAAGAAACTAGTGGCTTTTATGGACTGCACTTAATTGCATTTATTTTTCTGAACCAAGGGGACTGTGGCCATTGCTTTCTTTTAATCAACATACCAAATTACATACGTAGACTCTTTGAGAGAGCTGAAGCAGTACGTGTAATGATGATTGTCCTAAGTTCAAATCCCAGCTCAGCGACTTGTAAGTTTTAAGAGTTTAGACAAATGTATTAACATCTTTAAGCCTCCATTTCCTTATCTATAAAATAAGACTAATACTGCCAATCACATAACATTGTTGAAAGAATTAATTAAGATAGTGTTGTAAAGCTCTTGGGATAGCTGGCTGGCTTGTAAATTGCTCAAGAAACACTTGGGTGAAGTATGGAAGTCTTACTTCAATTTGGACACCTTTACCTTCCCCATTTAAGAATAGCATTGTCTTGAGCAGCTGATGGTTGTATAGTTTTTAATTTAAATTTTTTTTTGGTAGCAGTGGGGTCTTACTATGTTGTCCAGGTTGGTTTCAAACTCCTGGCTTGAAGCTCTCCTCCTACCTTGGCCTCCCAAAGTGCTATGATTACAGATATGAGCCTAGCCTGGTAGTATAATTTTTGTTTCAATCATCAAACCTGGTTTATAAAACTCACTCGGAGAATACTTTATTGTCTATATCTGCCTGTTCTTCCTTCTTCTGTCATTTTCTTTCTGTTTGAGAAACTTCTTTTAGCCAGTCTTTAAGGGTGGGCCTTTTAGAGACAAATACTTGTAGTTTCCCTAAATCTGAGGGTATCTTTATTTCCCTTCATTCTTGAAGCATAATTTCACTGAATTCATGGCTTGATAGTTCTTTCTTTCAACCCTTGGAAGCTGTCATGCCACTCCCTTCCAGCCTCCATAGTTTCAGAAGAGAAGCCTGCTGTCACTTGAATTGATGCGCCCCTGCAGATAATGTGTCATTTCTCCCTGGCTGCTTGTAGAATTTTTTTGTTTGTGGTTTTTGGAAATGCAATTACGGTGTGTCTTTGCATGCATTTCTTTGGGTTTATCTTAGTTGGGTTTTTCTCTGCTTCTTAAATATGTAGGTTTATGTCTTTTGACAGATTTGGCAAGTTTCAGCCATTATTTCTTCAATTACTCTGTCAGTCCCACTCTTTATTCCTCTCCTCTGGGACTTCAGTGACACAAATGTTGGATCTTTTCTTATTTTGCTTGAGGCTATATTCATTTAGTTTTTTTTTCAGTCTATTTCTTCTCGACTACTGGGTAAATTATATTTTTTGAATTCAAGTTCATTGACTCTTTCCTCTGTCATCTCCACTCTACTACTGAGTCCATTTTTTGGGCTTATTTTATCAAATTCTACAGTTCCACAGTTTTCATTTAGTTATTTTAAAAATAACTTTCATTACTTTGACAAGATTTTCTATTTTTTGTTTGTTGAATAACAGTGATTATTTTTTGAAGCATTTTTACAATGGCTGCTTTAAAAATCCTGGTCCGATAATTCCAGCAACTGATGACTCTTTGTATTGAGGTCATCTGAACATCTTTCTTCATGCCAACAGTGACTGTGCTGGTTCTTAGTATGAGTAGGACTCAGAGTCTCCTAACCTAATGGTCAAAATGTCCAGTATATTGTAGGACGTTTTGATCATTAGGTTAGGAGACTCTGAGTCCTACTTTAAATCCAGCCACCCCGTTTAGGTCTAGCAGGAAGGTCCTAGCTACTTGCGGGGCTGGGTTCCAATTACAATGTAATTTTCAGAGTCTTTCTGATACTATTTTAGTCTGTGTGGTTAATCTGGTGCCCTGGGGCTCTAGCTGGTCCCTGATGGTGCTGCCTGTGGGGAGTGGGAGGATGCCAGGAGAGGGTCACTAGGCTGGGCTCTCATGGTGGCAGCACTCCACTGACCTATGACCCTGGGCCCTCTGGAGTCCTCTGGTGGAGAAAGGAATTTTCCTGCTTGTGGGGACAAAATGTATATCCTGGGCTGGCTCCTCTTGGTGGTAATATCTTCTTATCAGTGCTCCAGGTCCCTCAGTGTCTCAGTAGAGGAGAGAAGGGTCAGGCAGGGTGGGCAACATGCAGATGTAATTAATGTGGTTTTCTAATGTAGGTTAATAAAAAGCCAATCCCCTCTTTTTATTTTAGTTGTCTCTACATTTTACGTGATTCTATTCATTCTGAAGTATCTAGAAGGTGAACAGTGTTCTCTATCTGTGAAAGATTACTTCCATCAGTGGGCAGAGTGGGTGTGACACCCTAGCACCCTCTCCCTGATGGTGTACCTGGCTGGTATGGGTTTTTGTTTGTTTGGGCTTGCTTGTTTGAATTTTCAAGTGTGAATGCCTTTAAGCAGGTCATGATACTCCAGTTCACAGCTGGCCCTATGGCTTGCTTATTCATTGATTCCTCAATTATTTATTGAGTATACACTATGGGTTAGAAAATGTTCTAGGGCCAAGGATCCCCAATGAGCAAATCAGACAAAACCCAAAAATACGCCTGTGCTCAAAGTACTCACACACCAGGGTATCTTCTAGCTTTGTCCCTGTCCAGTTTGACCCACTTTCCTCCCTGCCTGCCTATGAACGTTTGAGGCTGGGCCTTGTTCTGAGGAAGGAATGTATGGTGCTGGGATCTCTTAGAGTAATTTTTACCCATCTTTTTCATTTCATCACTGCTGAAAGTAATGTGCCATATAAAAAGACAGTATAAAGGATTTGCCAATAGATTGAGTTAGTAGAAATACTTTATTAAGAAAAATGGGCAGTGTTGACTTTAAAACATTCTTGAAAAATGCTTTTTGGAGGTGATGTGTTCTCTGATGTCAGCATAAGAGTTTTGCAGCCTGGAAACTATTTACTGAGGGAGAGCAGTGTGTAAAACACCAAGCAGCATCTTTGGGCCTGTGCAGACCAAAAAGATCACATCCTAAGATGATTAGAGATCTTCCATGCAGAATGTTGGGACATGGTGGCGGAATATGTCGAAGCTTTGATTGCACAGAACCCCAGAATCAGAAAAATCTTTAAAGTTAGTTTTAGGAAGAATTATTTCTCATCATGGATATTAGCCGTTATGTCAAGCAGTTAAACTGGCTAAAAACATAAACCATAGTATGCAGGTTCTCAGTAGGGCTAATGGATGAAATTCCCTTAACTGCTCATTACAGAGATGTGAAGAAGGTGCCTTTCCAGGTGTCCATCATTGACAAGTGTTTCTCATCGAAGGCCCTGACACCGTCTTAACATAGGTTGGGGGGTGGTGACCATGCCCAGTTTTTCCATCAGACAGTATATTATAAGATGGCTTCTCCTTCCATAAAATCCCCCTAAATCTTCTTTCATTGAATACTTCTGATGTATTTATGGATGGAGTTAAGATTTAGATGATACTAACCTGAACCAGATTTTTTTTTTTTTTTTAAAGCAGCCTAGGGAGTGAAATAGGTTCAAAATCTGCCACTTCCTAGCTGGGAGGAGCAGGCATGTCACAGCCCACTCAGACTCAGCCTCCTCCCTCAGCAACTGGGGAATACAGCAGCTGCCTCCCTTGCTCCCAGAGGAGAGGGGGGCAGGATGTGCCAAGGTGCCTTGTACAACCTTACCCTCTTATTGTGGGGGATGAACACTGGTTCCCGGTAGTGGGTGGTGCAGGCTGACATTCTTTTCTCTGTATCCATAGTACTTTCATACACTCCTCACCTTCTCCCCACATCCAGTAAAACCCAGCTTACCTGATGAGCTCTACTGTTTCTGAATACATCGTATAAGGAGATTTGGATTCCATGGGGCCTTGTTCCATTGCATTTCCACACTCAATAAATGACAAGGCTGCTTCAGCATAGTTCAAAGCCTTTCCAAACTTTTCCACCTGATCAACAGAGTATACACAGTGTCTTCCTAAACAATAGATTTTTTTTTAAAAAATGGCATTGTCATACAGTTTATACACTTTGTCTGAGAAACCCAACTCTGACTTCCAAAATCCTGTGAATGAAGCCGAGAGAAGAAAGAAACAGCATACTTCTTTTCCTAGTTATTTTCTCAAACTGCTACTGGCTTGGAGGAAGTGAGCAGTTACATGCAGAATTGTACCAGGCCCATGTGACAACTGCCCATCAACAGAGCTCAGAACGGCATGGCTGCTCTAATTTCTGTTTCCCTCTTTCTAACCCATAATGGTTTGGTGACTTCATTCCTTGTTCCTCCATGCTATGCTAAATATACATCAAAGTTGATAGGTCTGGTCCCATATGAGTTTTCATACTTCTTTTGGTACATCCCAACTTGGATGGTTCCAGGCTTTGGTTATTATCTTTAATATTATTTGTGGCACTTACATCTCCATGCCTTGCTCTTCTCAATTTTTTTTTTTTTTTGAGTGGAGTCTCCCTCTGTAGCCCAGGGTGGAGTGCAGTGGTGCAATTTGGGCTCACTGCAACCCCTGCCTCCCAGGTTCAAGGAATTCTCCTGCCTCAGCCTCCTGAGTAGCTGGGATTATAGGCATGTGCCATAATGCCTAGGTAATTTTTGTATTTTTAGTAGAGATGGGGTTTCACCAGTTGGCCAGGCTGGTCTTGAACTCCTGACCTCAAGTGATCCACCTGCCTCAGCCTCCAAAAGTGCTGGGATTGCAATTAGGCCACCATACCTGGCCTCAATTACTTATTTATTTTTTGTTGTTAATAGTTAGGACCTCATTTAAGAGTGTCAGTAGGGGCAAGGAGAGAAGACAAAACTCAGGGAGCTATTTCAGCTTCGCTAAAATGGGACACAAGTTGAAAATTAATAATAAAAATGATTTTTGGTTGGGCATGGTGGCTCATGCCTGTAACCCCAGTGTTTTGGGAAGCTGAGGCAGAAGGGTCATTTAAGCACGGAAGTTTGAGGTTACAGTGAGCTATGATCACCCCACTGCACTCCAGCCTGGACAACAGAGCAAGACCCTGTCTCTAAAAACAAACAAATTCTAAAAATTTCTATGGGATCATCTGTAGCTGTCTAAATTTGTGTTATTCTTTCCCCACATCAGCAAGGGCAACTACAAATCAGCTTTATAATCCCCAATTTTCAAATGATTCATTCATCATTCAAAACATAGAATGATGTAATACTCAAATATTATTCCAAGCCTTGCCACTAAAAATACAAAAAAAACCCACAAAAAACCCCATAAAACACACACATACCAAATTTCATTAGTAATGATAGCTTTGAAAACAGAAATGTAGAGCAAATCTTCCCCTCATTGGCAAATCAAATTTTTAAACAGCTTATAAAGCTAGCGTAGGCTATAATGCAATATTTCTTTCTTTTTCTTTCTTTTTTTTTTCAGACAGGGTCTCACTCTGTCACTTAGGCTTGAGTGCAGTGGCAAGATCTCAGCTCACTGCATCCTCTGCCTCCTGGGTTCAAGCAATTCTTGTGTCTCAGCCTCCTGAGTACCTTGGATTACAGGTGTGCACCACCACCCCTGGTTCTTCTTCCCATTTTTTTTTTTGTGTGTATTTTTAGTAGAGACAGGGTTTCACCATGTTGACCAGGCTGGTCTCTTACTCCTGACCACAAATGATCCACCTGCTTCGGCCTCTCAAAGTGCTGGGATTACAGGTGTGAGCCACCGTGCCTGGCCTGTAATGCATTATTTCTTGATAACACTTTCAGATGAAGTCAATTCATTTAATATTCATATTTCCTAAAGCACCCAATTCTGTGGCATGTGCACTCAATAAGCCAGAGTTCTTTCCCAGAGCGTATACTTGGAGGGAGAAAATGTACACCTACAAGATAGTTCAAAGTGCAAGGCAGTCTGCGATTACCCAACAAAATGCAAAACGAGGCATCCAGCGCAAATGAGATGGAGGAAAGGAAGCTAATGATGGGGCCATGGAGAGGCTGGGAAGGCCGCAGGGAGGAGACTGAACATGATGCCGGAAAGGAATGGTAGGGTCTGGCTTGATCTGGGGAGGATGCTGAGGGTGCAAGTATGCCTGTGAGAGCCTGTGAGAGGGAAGCTCTGCAGGTGGAAAGGCCCGCTGATTGGCAGGAGCAAGGTGTGCTGAGTGGCCAGTAGGGGACCAGCCTGGCTGGAGCAGAGTGTCCCCAGGAAAGGTAAGGTTGGGTAAGAGGACAATGAATAAATAATGCCTTAAACCTCAGATGCTGGATTCAGCCAGACAATCTCATTCTCCTTAAAAATCTGATGCTCTTCTCCAAGAGTGGCCACGCATCAGCTTCTCCAGACGACCAGATGTTTCCATAAGACTTGGATTGTGTGGACAAGAGCTGTACCTTCCGCTACCCTTCTCTATGCTCTGATACTTAGGGGTTACTCGTCCTGTACCCCAGTGTACCTAGGCAGTGGTCCTCATGTAAATAGGTGACATCGGTAGCACTGGAAGAGGGGTACTGTTACTGTTTCAACATCTTCAGTATTCTGACGGTCACTGGAAATGTCATCTTCATTTCCAGCACCTGCCTCAGTATCAGTTATGAACACTGGAGGAGACTAAAACTGGAATGACTAGGTGGGAAGCAGTCCCTTTGGACTTCATTCATTTACGATGGAACAACCATATGATCTCTTTCAGAAAAAAATAAAGTTTTCTATCTCCTGCCTGAGAGCTTCAAGCTTTCCGAAACAGGAGGTTATCCAAGCAAGAAAAGTTATTCTTTGAAAACATCAAATCATGGTGACTTTAGAGTCTTAGGTGCAGATAATAGTTTCTGTGTTGTACAGTTTCAGAGAAAGCATTCATTTTGGCAGATACATGTGAAGAACCCAAGTGTTTTTGAAAAGAGATTTGATCCTGGGACCAAGCCAAGGGTTTGTCAGGCTAACAAGAGAAAAATGCAAATCTAGATTTCACTTTTTAAAGGAAAAAATAATACTGCTACCCACTGCCTCCACTGGCTCGAGTTACTCTTCAAACCTTAGGACTAAATTGAAATATTCATTTATCCAGGGCTTTTTCCCAGTCAGGCGTTATTGGTTGAAGTCATAATTTATTGGGCTATGAATACTTGATTATATAAACATTTCTCCACTTAACAGACCCAGCCATCCTTGTAATAGATTTTATAATTACCCTAGCTATGTTGTCCCAGTGATGAAGCCACAGTACACACATAATTTGGAAGGACATATCTGGAAAGAAAAGGGTCTCACCATTGCATCTGCTTTATGCTTCATTCGTTTAGCTTCTTGCATAAAATAATCTGCACTTCGAGGCCTACAAGGAGAGAAAGATATTAAACGTCATTATTGCTTAAGTGCAAGATCTTTTAAAAATATTCCTTCCTTTCACTCAAACTTAAGAAACAGTTTAAAAACTCTGCTCAATGTGGAATTAAGTGTTTTTTATCCTTCCAAATTACTGCCACAATACATTTTCTCTTAAGTTAGCAATTTGAAACACACTCAATGTATACCAGTAGTCTATATTTATTGTGGCTTTAACATGGCCCCCTAGTGTTTAATTTGTGAATATATTTTTTATTGTATGGTTAAAAAAACCAAATGAGAAATCTTATTTTATGCAATATTCACATAAAACAATCTCCTTTTAATGTAAAGATTGTAAATATACCTCATCATAATTGTACGGATAGATATGGGTGAGTATACTTATGTATCCTTATGAAAGTAACTATCATTTACATGCATATCTAGTACGTAGAGTTTTATGTATATATACTGAATTATCTTAAAGCCTCACGGTGAAAAATAAAAAGAGGTAATGTTAGATGATTACATCCCAGTTGTAATGAAGTTAATTGTAAAATGATGTCTACCTTGTAACAATGCAAACATGGCATGTATTCTCTAGAGTTCCGATTAGCTAGCTGGTAAACATTAACAGCAGACATCTGCATTATTAAAGCAATAACCCCGGCTAGCGCTGACTCTGCCGGGAGATGAAGGTAACTCATCCAGAGACTGATTTGAGTGTGTGTAATCATGCCCAGTTACGCTAAGCTACTCATTAGACAGTACCTTTAAATGTTGGGCCTGACAAATTTAAAAAAATGACATCCTTTAGGCACTGGTGACATAAACTTTATATAATCAATAAACTTGACCTATTCATGAATATCAAATATAAGCCAGGACTCTGAATGGAAGGCACGATCAAAGTAGTGATATTAATCAGGGGTGGTTTAACCTACTATTACATGCTTATTTTGAACTGCCTTATTTCAGATCCTAATGGGTCTTTTATCTTTTTCTAATATTAGGTAGTCAGAGCGTTCATTTATCCAAATAAGTCAAAATGCTTAAAAAAGCAATGTGTGACAATGTTTTTCTATAACAATGACATTGCATTTTAATCAAACAAACCAGAATCACAGCATAGTTTTGGGTCAAAATGGCTCCTCACTTCTTCCTCATGCCCCTGACGAAGGGCTGGAACTGTCCATTCATTGTGGTGGGTTTTTCACTGAGGGTGAGGCCTGAGATCACCTTCCTACCAAGGCCCTCCTCCTGCCACTCCATTTTCTTTCTTCCATCTCCTGGATGCCCATGCTTCCGCCATATGAAGACTTTATTGTTGCCTTGGCGAGTTTTCCTTTTGTCCACATATTGACACATACTGTTCACATATTGCCTGGTCTTTGGTTCCAACTCTGGCAATTGGTGTTATTTTTGCTGTTTTTTTTTGAGAAAGCTTTTCACTCTGTCACCTAGCCTGGAGGGCAGTGATTATGATCACCAATACAGAGCCTCAACCTCCTGTGGTTAAGTGACCCTCCCACCGTAGCCTCCCAGGTAGCTGGGATTACAGGTGCATGCCATTATACCTGGCTAATTTTTTGTATTTTTAGTAGAGATGGGGTTTTGCCATGTTGCCCAGGCTGGTCTCGAACTCTTGAGCTCAAGTGATCCACCCGCCTCAGCCTCCCAAAGTACTGGGATTACATGGCTTTCATTATATCACCATCCTACTCATGGACCTAAAATCAATCTCCAGGGCCTATGAGATCAAATCTCAGTTCAGATCCCCAATAATCTTTCCTAACCCTCTTAACCATATTGCTTATTCATGAAGGCCTTTGGCTAAAGTCAGAGGTAGCTCCTCATTGTCTTGATAACATAGCATCCTGGTCTGAGGAGTTTTGCTTATCACTTATCCCATCTGGAACACTCTCCTCTCTGCTCATTCACTGAGTGCCTTCTATGAGCCAAATGTTACCCACCCCTCAAATTCTTCTGCCATAAGGTGTTCCAAGTAACCTTGATCCACGTTCACCTCTGTCCTTCCTGATCTCACACAGCACTTCTTGTTTACTACACTTCTGGGTATTTCATTATCTTTCGAGCTGTACTGGGCATGTGTGCAACTTGGTAACTTGGTTGCTGGTACATTTTTAGCAGGGACCATGCTGCAGACTTCTTTGATCTTCCCCATCCTGTAGTTTTTGGCACACGGTAGAAGGTAAGCAGGTCCCTCTTGAATGAATGGCACTGAATTCATTTTGAGCTTAGAAAGGAGTGGTGCCTTCCGATGGGGCGCTGCATTGCATCCAATGAGCCAGAGAGCGTCTCCATGGCAACTTGAAATTCTCCACATCATTATCTGTTCTATACTCTAGTATATAAGTTAGGTCATTTTTTTCTTGCCCTGTTTTGTCACTAACAGATCACTACTTCAAATGCATTTGTTTTCATTAAAGGATTATCTTGGTTATAAGCTATGGCATCTTAGTTTCCACCAGCCTTCTAAGTTACCCTTATGAATGGCAGTGGCTCACAATTCCTCATATGAGATCCTTAATCAATATTGTTTTCATCTGCAGCATAGGAACATATTTTTTAATCCTGATATGGAGGCTGAATCACAGAATGTCACAATAATGCATGGGGATAAGTAACACACCTAATTTTTTGACTGTATCAGAGCAACTATAATAGTAACCTGAGATGCTAATAGCATCGATACCATCTGGAGGCCACTTATGAACACATTTGTTAGAACTCTCATCTTTGCATAGAATAGAGGGCTCACTATAATGAGTCACTGAAGATTGCCTGATGATTGGCCCATTTTCTCCTTTTGGGTGATTTCTAGTGCTATACTTCCAGAACAGATCATTATAAAGCCAATGGGACCAATGGGATGTCACCCAGTGTCCAGCCTCGCCACGAATGCACACTTTCACAAAGGCATCCCTTCTGACAGCAATATACAAGTCAGTAGGAAAAGTAAAATTGCTGTCACCGTTGTGACAGTTATAGAATATAATATGGCAAAGGTACTAAAATTCGATCTTAGTGTTCAAACAGATTTTCCATTTATTTTTTTTAACATGGAAAATCTAGAGTTTTTGTTTTTCATTTATGTAATAAAATTCTTCACATTGTTTCCCGCAGCGATGGTGTTTTATGATGATACATGAGCAAACCTAATAAAAGTTTAATTAAACACCATAAATGTAACTAACTGTGAATCTTGGGCTCTTCAGAAACAGGGCTTGAGTGATCTGAAAGCCAGAGCTTAGCCGCATGCATCTTCGTCATGAGAGCTCCCTCCAACAAAAGCATTCTGAGCACTTGAACGAAATAGAGTGTTTTCTTTTCTTCTCTTCCCCCCCACCAACCCCCACCTAGAAACACACGGTCTTGGTTCTCAGCAGCATCAGGGTTTGAGCTACCCCCGTATTTCTTCTGGCACAGGAATATTAAAGCAACCTTGCTTTTTGTTCTCCTTTGTGGCTGGGATAGAGTTGAATGGTCTCCCACGGAGAGCCTGGCAGACTCCTTTCTGTAATTCCTACCTCTGTGAAATGCCGCCCCCGGCAGAGCCAGCCTGTTTTGTGAAAACTGGCAGGAATGAGAGCTCAATGTGTTTGAACAACAAGTTCCTCGGCGCGGCAGAAATTGGATGATTTTCTTAGGGAAGTTGAAACCCAAATCAGACAAACAGGCAACTGCATACCAAATGAATTCATCATCTGCTATCCGATATGTCAGCTTGTCATCTGATAAGCCCCAGAGGTGTTAATATGTCCCCAGCTTTGAGGAGCATGCATAAGAAGTAATTATTTTTAATACACAGAGTAAAGTGATGACTATGGATGAGGGCACTTCAGAGTCAGGCACTCCGGGATGCTGGCACTGGCACTTCCCCATGGAAGCAGGTAGATTGCATGTGGGTAGCAAGGATTCAAACACAGCTTTTATTTCTACAACTTTGATGCTGGCTGGGGCCCCAGAGTCCCTGGCACCTGGCTTCTTCAAGGCACAAGCGGCCATTCACTGCTTCTTCCAGGCCACAGGCTCCTGCAGGCGACTGCTTCCTTCTCGGCTGGGCATTGAAGGCAGGGGCTGCTCTGCAGGAGTCCCAGGCTAAGTGGGGCAGGTTTCGGTCACTGAATCAAAAGTAACTTTCTGCTGAAATGGGAAATTATCAATCTGACGGTTGTTTTTCTCTGATTGTGACATTTAAAATAATCTTACAAAACCCTAAAAATGATCAGACAGTTGAGATTTCAATCCAGGAGATCTGAATGTTCTTGTTCCCCCTCACGCCTTACAAATCCTACTCCATTTCTCTCTCTGTTTTGATTAGAACAAAATAAGCACCTGGCCTTGACACAGGGCTATCGTAATGGGAGAAATTCCACATGAAGACTAATAAAGGCTTAATGATTTATCAGTAAAACAAAAAGGTGGGGTCCTGCTTTGAAAGGACTGGGAGAGGAGACCCTCAGGAGAACATGTCCATTGCAAGCCCCGGGAAGGAGTGCCTTCCCAGCTGCAATTTTACCTACTCAAGGATTTTAACTGGTGTCCTTTGACTAAGTCACGCTACTAGAGACCCAACCTTTTACATATGGGCATTTTCCCATCCTCTATGAAATTAAAATCCTTTTAGCTCTGAGACTGCTGTGCTAAGTACATTGCAAATATCAAGTCCCTCTTTTGCTTCCCCCCAGCCACTGCCTTCAGTGCCTAGAATCTATAGCCAGTCTTTCCTCACCGTCGGGAGGTTCAGGTAGCCGGGCTCATGTTACGGGCACCATGGGGACAGATTGGACTTTTGGTGATTTGGCTATATGTGCTGATTGTGACTGACTTTTCCATGGGACACACAGGCAGCAGCCAGCACTTATTCCAGGGAACCGCAGGCAGCCCTGGCACCTGGGGTTCTCTGGCTTCCTAGCACAGGAGTACAGCGGGCAGGATGGAGGAGCTGGTTTTCCAGGCAAGGATCTCACCACCACTTAGCTCTGTTCCGAGGACTTCCATACCGAGGGCTTCATGATACACACAGTTGTTCGGTCTCAATTCTCCCCAGTCAAGAATTCTCTGTCACTAATTATGACACCAAGTAACTTATAGCTCACGGCTTTGCACTAATAAGACCAGTTTCTAGGCCTTGAGTTGAATCAAGTGCTGTCATTCAATGACATAAATTTTTACAGATTTGTTTTTTAAACAGAAGTCTGGTAATCACACTAGTGTCACCTTAATACTGTGCCTGTCAAGTAGTAAATGTTGTGCATTTGCTAAATGTCAGGGGAGGAGGTGAGGTCGCACTGCCACCAATATGAGCCTGCAACGTACAAAGAACGCGCTGACCTGGATCACATTTTAAAAATGAATGTTATTCTGCTTAGTTCTGTCCGTATCCCAAAGGCACTAACTGGTGCCTGTTTAATTGGTAAGTAACATAGGAAAAGGGGCTTGGCAGCCCATTAATTTACATTCACCTGCATGTAGATTCTTGACAGTTACAGAAAAAAAAATTGCAGGCACTCTCCCCTGGGAATGTAATTTATAATTCAGCTGGGTTCATTTAACACTTGTTATTGAGAGCCTACTGGTTTCAGCTGTTGCCTGAATCTCATGTTTATTCAACCATTAACAAGTATTTATAATACAAAGAGATGAGTTTACTTTTTTAAAAAAAGCTACATGATGCGGCTTTAAAAATTAAATGACAGTGTGACATCTGTTACTTTTTGGATCACTGTAACCGGATTTCCATCAATTCGAAATCACTCCAGTGCTAATTATCTAGTCCTTTCTTTTCTCCCACTGATGGTCTCTCTTTGGTCATTTCACTGCTTGTTTTCACACATGGCTAAAGTTCACTCTTCACCCTCAGTGAAGAGAAGTCAAGGAAAGTGACAAGGGCTGAGGTCTTCCTCTCTCACTGAGGGTGCTGGTGGGGAAGCTGGCACGGAATGGAGATGGGCAGGGAGGAGGTGGAGAGCCGAGTTTAGTAATCCTATGAAACCTTTCTGCAGAGGTCACCACGTGCCCCTCTCTTCCCTGAAGAACCGACAATTAATTAATCATTATACTTTAGCTCTTGCACCTGTACTTGGCATTTAGTAAGTGCTCCAGACATACCAAGTGGAACCTGGGAGACGTTTTGCACAATTTTAGGTGACATCCTAGCTTAGTGATCTCTTGAAGGTTGCTTGTTTTTACTGTTTAAAGAAGAGAGGATGCCTATTTTTTCTCTTTTTCTTTTCTTTTTTTTTTTTTTCTGAGATGGAGTTTCACTCTTGTGGGCCAGATTGGAGTGCAATGGTGTGATCCTGGCTCACTGCAACCTCCACTTCCCAGGTTCAAGTGATTCTCCTGCCTCAGCCTCCCGAGTAGCTGGGACTATGCCTGGCTAATTTTTTTTTTTTTTGCATTTTTAATAGAGATGGGGTTTCACCATATTGGCCAGGCTGGTCTCAAACTCCTGCCCTCAAGTGATTCACCCACCTTGGCCTCCCAAAGTTCTGGGATTATAGGCATGAGCCACCATGCCCAGCCTGTTTTTGCATTTCAGGCTTGAAGAATCTTTCCACAACTTTCTTAGTTCAATGGTTGAGTGGCTGTTTGAGTTGCATATTTATTTTCCTGTTACGGATTTCAAGTCAGTTGGGACACATGGCAATTGGAACACAACATCTATCTCTCCATATGATGGATATGTAACAGTGCTTTTTAATTCTATTCTATCTATATCCATAAAAGGAGAAACAGTTTTATTGTAGCTGTCAGCCAGGAAAATTATACATATTGCTAATGGGAAGAACAAATGATAACAGCCTCTTTGTTGATACAGATAGTGACAAAATTATGTTAGTTTTAGCCATAGCAGATTGAGAAACATTTCCTCTTATAAAAAGTCCAAGGACTGCCAGCCATGGCAGCTCATGCCTATAATCCAGCACTTTGGCAGGCTAAGGTGGCAGGGTTGCTTGAGGCCAGGAGTTAGAGACCAGCCTGAGTAACATAGTGAGACATCATTTCTCCAAAAAAAAAAAAAAAAAAAAAAAAAAAATTAACTGGGTGTGGTAGCGCGCACCTGTAGACCCAGCTACTCAGGAGGCTGAGGTGGGAAGATAGTGTGAGCCCAGGAGTTTGAAGCTACACTGAGCCATGATCAAACCACTGCACTGAACTCTAGCCTGGATGACAGGCCAAGATCTTGTCTCAAAAAAAAAGTCCAGTACCTGCAGATCAAAGTGTAATTATTTAGTTGTTGCTGTTTCTGACTTAGCTTTCTGGTTCATACACTGGAAAATTCCTTGCATTTTAATATTAAATATGAGTTTGTATTTTTTATAGATACACACACATACACTATGCTAAATTCCTTGGATTTTAATATTACATGTCTTTGTATTTTGTGTATATATATATACACACACACACACACACACACACACACTATGCTCTCAAATCCATCCACTGCAAGTATGTGGTGTTTTGAATACCTCAGGGTCTAATGCTTCTTCTGTTTGATCATGTTGTTGGCTTATGACTTCCAAATGCAAATTTCTATGTTATCCTTATATGCAATTCTAATCTCTTGTTTTCACAAATGGCTGAAGTTCACATGAACCATTTATATCCCTGAACTCTAATTATAAATGAAGTTGACCACCTGACTGTAGTTCCATTCCATGCCCTCCCTGGGGATTAATCACCACCTACTTCCCTGGCTGCCTGGCAAGGGCAGTTCAGACAGCGAGAGGAAGGGGGGTGGTGAGGGGCAGGAGTGTGCATGGGGTGGGATGCAGCTGCCGCCACAGGAAGAAAAGAAATACACACGCCCTCCTGGGCTGCCCTCAAGCTTTCTTAAAACCCAGTTACCTGGAATGTATCCACTTAACAAAACAAACAACAAATGTAGATTTGGCTTTCACCCCCAAAACTCTGTGCCCTACATAGCTTACGGGAGTCCACGCAGTACTTGAAGACTACAACACAGTATTTTAAATTTCCCAGGGAAGTTTGCAGAGGTGGATAAATAGATCCTGCTGAGACTCTGGGTGGCAGTTAGGGATGGAGGAGTGGGGTGGACGAAGAGGCTGGGGCAGCCACCCCTGCACAGTGCCTTCTGTGCTCACGTGGTACCCCTTAGGAGACAGCATTTAATGGATCCTAGGAGGGCCCGCTGAGGGAGCTGTGCCACTCGTCACTGGGACTCTCAGACATTAGAACCATTTTATTTTCTGACTTCCTGTGGGGTTAGTGGCTTGTAGTCTGTCTCCTCGGCTGGACTGGAAGCCCTCAGAAGGCAGGAGTGCTTATTTCTGCAGCTGTTCCAGCCTGGGGCTGAATTTTTCCTGCCTCACCCAGCCATGTATTTGATGCCCGTAGGACAGCTAAAGCTGAAGAGGATTCAAGCTGAGTCTCTCCTGCCTTCCGGGCTTATCCCTGACACATATATTTTCCCTAAAAGCCAAAATAATTTTCAGCATCATTTTATCATTTCTTGTTTGCCATTTTCAGCCTCATGAGAGCATTCCAGGACATTATTTTTATTCATCTTCTCCTCTTGTTTCTCCTCCTTTTAAAATGATGCTGGGAATGGAAGTTATACTTGGGTGAAACTGAAAGTGCTAGAATTGGGTGAAGGATGATGGCATTTTTTTCTGCTATAAGAATCATTTATACTATTATAAAGAATATAGCAGTTGGGGGAAAAAAGCTTTCAGTAGTAAATCACTATTATTCGTTGCCTATTATAATTTACAAAACCAACAATGCTTCTCTTTCTAGTAGCATAAAACTGCCAACAGCCCACAGTACCAGCGCTTAGAAGTGTAAGACTCATTAATGCTATTTGCCTTTGTTTTCTGATGTCCTGGATCCAACCCCATTAGGACTGATTATTCCGTCTGCCCAAAATCCCCACCAGGACGCAGGCATGCACTCAAAATGAAGGCTCCAATTTCCTTTGAGAGGGACATTTAAATGACCAAGTCCCAGGGGGAAAAAAAGGCCGCACTGTAGCTGAACGTGGCCACACCAAGGTGCCCGCGCCCTTTCCATCTGAGCAGCTTCTGTTCTGTCTTGACCCTCACCATATTAAAGATGAACTTACATATCATCGAAGACAAGTTTCTGTCTCTTGCAGTCCCTGTGGCCGTTGGAGCCTGGAGACCACGGCTCCGTCTGCGGCCGTGACTTGTGGAGGGGAATGTTTTCGGAATTGTTGTGAGCTGCTTTCTAAACAACAAACAACATACAAGTCTCTGAGAAACTGGCCACCTGGTGAAGCGAGCAGCCCATTACATACATACATACATACATAGAATATCTTTGGCTCTACAGAACATCTTTGCGCACTGTATTAGAATTGATGGTGATTTTGTCTCAATGAAGAAATATATGCATTCTAAGTATTAAGCTGCGGGCTTCTACATGTATTCTCAACTGTCATTCTCATGACACTATCAAAAGGGAAGTCATGATGTCCACTCACACAGATCCAGAAACAGGGTTGGTGAGGTTCAACAACTTGCCCACACTCAAACAGTGACTGTAGTGGAGGCCAGGGCTTAGGGTGTAGACGCCTACTTTCCCCAGTCCGCTAGACTGGAGATCGGCCAGTTCAGTTTTCATCAGCATCCTCCAGGGGGCTGGTGAAAGCCAGATTGCCAGGCCCCACCCTGAGAGTCTGGGATTCAGCAGGGCTGGGTGGGACCCTAGAATCTGCCCTTCTCTCTGGTTCCTGGCGATGCGAATGCCGAGATCACCTGCGACTCTGGAACTACACTTTCAGAACCATTTGCCATCACTGCCTCTAGCAAAAGAGAAGTGACTCAGCTCACAGGCTTGCTGGCTCTCCTTGGCTGTCTGTGAAGACCAGAAGGAGTCAAAGGGAACCACTAGGAATTACTTAAACAATATATTTTAGGCCGGGCTCGGTGGCTCACACTTGTAATCTCAGCACTCTAGGAGGCCAAGGTGGGTGGATCACCTGAGGTCAGGAGTTCAAGACCAGCCTGGCCAACATGGCAAAACTTCATCTCTACTAAAAATACAAAAATTAGCTGGCTGTGGTGGTGGGTGCCCTATAATCCCAGCTACTCAGGAGAGGCTGAGGCAGGAGAATCGCTTGAACCCAGGAGGCAGAGGGTGCAGTGAGCCAAGACTGCACCACTGCACTCCAGCCTGGGCAATAAGAACAAAACTCCATCTCAGAAAAAAAAAAAAACCCAAATATATATATATATGTATATGTGTTTGTGTGTGTCTGTGTGTGTGATATGCAATATATATGAGGAACACATTAGTCTGTGGAAAATTTTTAAAAAATCACATTACTAGGGATACAAACATTTACATGGCACCTATTGTGTGCTAAACACATGGATCTTAAAACCACAGTCTGTGGTTGGGAAACGCAAATGGTTTCTCTGAAGTAATTAAAATGGAGTGTATACAAATGCTTCTTTAAATATGGACTGGTTTTATGTGTAACACTGTAAGGGTTAGAGTCTACTGTTATAGAAGACCAGGAAACTCAGATGTCAACATTTTAAAATTGTTCTTAAACTTCTCCAGTGGCGTCTGCCTCCTCTTGGTAAAAGGAGCAATCTCAGCCAAGTGGCCCCTCAGCCATGCTTGCCTGTGGCCTCTGCGCCCCAGACTCGGGGGCCGGTGTCCAGTTCTTTCTCTGGACCTCTGCACTTGCTGCTTCCTCTGCCTGTAATGCTCTTTGCCTCTAGGGGTCAACAATCTACGGCCAGGGAGTCAAACCTGGCCCTTTTTGTAAAGAACATTTTCCAGTCCTGCCTATGTATTCATCTACTGTCTGTTTTCCTGCTACAATGACAAAGCTGAGTGGCTGAGATGGAGATCGTGCAGTCCATAAACGTTTATTTATTTATTTATTTATTTATTTATTTTTTGAGATGGAGTTTTGTTCTTGTTACCCAGGCTGGAGTGCAATGGCGCGATCTCGGCTAACCGCCACCTCCGCCTCCTGGGTTCAGGCAATTCTCCTGCCTCAGCCTCCTGAGTAGCTGGGATTACAGGCACACGCCACCATGCCCAGCTAATTATTTGTATTTTTAGTAGAGACGGGGTTTCACTATGTTGACCAGGATAGTCTCAATCTCTTGACCTTGTGATCCACCCGCCTCAGCCTCCTAAAGTGCTGGGATTACAGGCATGAGCCACCGCGCCCGGCCCACATTTAAGATATTTATCGAACTCTTTACAGCAGCAGTTCTCAACTGAGGGCAAGTTGACAATGCCTGGAGACATTTTTAGTTGTCACCAGTGCGAGCAGGTGCTCATAGCACCTACTGGGTGGAGGCCAGGGACGCTGCCAAACATCCTACGTTGCACAGGACAGCCCCATAGCAGGTAATTACTCAGTCTAAAATGTCAAAGCCTGCTTCGCAGAAAAAGTCTGCCACTCCAGGACTAATTCAAGCCTCTGGTGAATCATGGATGTGTGTGATCCCCTGTCTAAGGCTCTCTCTCCAGCCAAACGTAAGCTTCATGCGGGCACAGATGGAATCTTCCGGATTGTTACTGCATTTCTGGTGCTCAGCACAGTACCAGGCACGTAGTTAAGTACTTACTGAATAAGCACCTGTTTGGTGAAGAGTAACTAAATAAAACCTGTATTTGGTTTACAGTTTTCTGCATATCACAGTTGCTCACGACATAAGGATATAGAGGCAAATAAAACTTGAATTGGTGGCTTTTTGTTCCAGTTTTTCTAGCATAGCTGTTCCCCAATTGTTTCAGTCTAGAATTAAAGACCACTGCTCCCAAGTGAGGGTGTGCAAAGAAGTTCCTGAGGATGTTGTAAGATTTAGGCTCTTGTAAGAACTTCCTTCAACTTTGAATAATCTTTAATTCATGGATAAAGTGTTATACAGTGCTCCTTCCATCGTTTTTCTTTGTAGAGTCCTGTTCTTAAGTCTTATATCACTCCCTGCCTTAGAAAGCCCAGTTAGCTTTTTTTTTTTTTTTTTTTTTTAAGATGGAGTCTTGCTCTGTCGCCCAGGCTGGAGTGCACTGGCATGATCTCAGCTCACTGCAACCTCCACCTCCCCAGTTCAAGCGATTCTCCTGCCTCAGCCTCCTGAGAAGCTGAGATTACAGGTATATGCCACCATGCCCAGTCACCCAGCTGGTTTTGATAGGCACAGTGATTACCACGGGGGAGGGTATGAAAGTAACTCATGTTCCTGAAAGGATGAGTGGTCCAGGGCTGCTGGCTGTTAAGGGCCAGCACAGAACTAACATGTAGTGTTAATTGCATAGGTGACCCTAGGTGTTGGAGTCTTTTTTTTTGAGACAGAGTCTTGCTTTGTCGCCCAGGATGGAGTGCAGTGGTGAGATCTAAGCTCACTGCAACCTCTGCCTCCCAGGTTTAAGCAACTCTTGTGCCGCAGCCTCCCGAGTAGCTGGGAGTACAGGTGCCCGCCACCACGTCCTGCTAATTTTTCTATTTTTGGTAGAGACAGTGTTTCACCATGTTGGCCAGGCTGGTCTTGAACTCCTGACCTCAAGCGATCCACCCGTGTCAGCCTCCCAAAGTACTGGGAATACAGGCATGAGCCACCATGCCCACCAAGGGTTTTTTCCTAATATTGTCTCTTTTAAATTTTATCACTACCATTTTGCAGGTAAAGAAACAGGAGCAGAGAGATTAAGCAACTGGCCCAAGATCACACTGTAGCAAAGAGTTGAGGTCAGACTCTGAACCCAAGTCCCTTGCTCTTCCCCTGGGGCGTGTTGGAATCACCAGTGAGATCACTGGAAAAGGGGTGGTGACAGGGGTCCCCCACTGTGGCCAAGACACTGGCCAATAAACGTGAAGTGGTGGCCCTGTAGGTGTGGGGTTTCAATCCCAGATTTAACTCTGCCCTGGGGTAAGAAGTATTTCCCAATAGAAAGGTTGGTTGGTTCAAACTCCTAATTTACTTTGTTGTTGGATGGTATATTATTTTTAGGTCTTTTCTTTACAGAAGGAAAAATGAAATCCTGCCTAAGAAACAGAAGCTTAGAACTCCCCCTAAGGGTTATTCTTTCCCACTCTCTGTTGGGAGGGTAAAGGGGGCTGTCCTCTGCTAAGTCTTGCTAGAAGTGGGCTGCGTTCAGGAATTCTCAAGGGACCTCAAGCATGTGTTCAGACTGTGCTAGGTTAGAGACAGAGCTTAGGGGTGCTCAATTTCATTTTGGTTTCAATTAGGAAAGGAAGAGCATCAACGAACCATGAGGTCTCCACTGTGAGGCTGCAGCTGGCTGTCGGCCTTCGGCTTTTTGCTGGAAGAGGCTGAAGTGAACAAACTGTTGCCATTAGGTCGGCCGGAAGAAGTTAAGTCCTCGCTGGTGTATTTGTGTTTAGATGCATCAGAGAGGGGTGAGATGGGCGACCGAAGCATTTTTTCATTTTTATTTATTGGTATTGCCACGCTGAAAAAGGAAATTATAGTAACGGAATGTCACAGAGTTAGCACAGGGAAAGGTAAATGTTTTCATATGACCCAAACCACCCAACTGGGACCTGCTGGTAGAAGAAGCTTATTGGGAATTATTATACCAAGAAACAAGTTAATGGCATTAGGACTATAACAAACAATAAGCAAATGTCACTCACTGTTTCTTTTCTCTATCAGGATGAACAGTAATTCTGGAGCTAGGACCAAAGAACATGACTAAGAATAACAACACTTTCATTTTCTGAGTTCTTTATCCAAGAATCTCAGAATACCCAACAAACAACTTACTGTTTCCCTAACAAACATAAGCAACAAGCAGTGGGAAAGTCAATCAACAACAATAAATAAATTCTACATTTCTTTTTTTTTTTTTTTAATTTTTTGAGACAGGGTCTGGCTCTGTTGTCCAGGCTAGAGAGCAGTAGCCGGATCTTGGCTCACTGTAGCCCTAACCTCCTGGGCTCCAGCAATCTTCCCACCTCAGCCTCCTGAGTAGCAGGGACATTAGGTATGCACCACCACACCTGGCTAATTTTTCATATTTTTTGAAAAGATGGGGTTTCACCATGTTGCCCAAGCTGGTCTTGAACTCTTGGACCCAAGGTGCTTCAGCCTCCCAAAGTGCTGGGATTATAGGCGTGAGCCATCGTGCCTGGCAGAATTCTACATTTCTTTTTATTTTTTGAGATGGAGTTTTGCTCTTGTTGCCCAGGCTTGAGTGCAATGGCATGATCTCGGCTCACTACAATATCCGCCTCCCAGGTTCAAGGTATTCTTCTGCCTCAGCTTTCCAAGTAGCTGGGATTACAGGTGCCTGCCACCACGGCTGGATAATTTTTGTATAGCAGAGACGGGGTTTCACTATGTTGGCCAGGCTGGTCTTGAACTTCTGACCTCAGGTGATCCACCTGCCTTGGCCTCCCAAAGTGCCGGGATTACAGGCCCGAGTTCTACATTTCTAAAAAGACTTTTGCTCTCTTATCGGAGCTTGTACTAAATATTATATAGAAGCTAATAAAACCAGAGAACAACCTGCAATATGTGAAGCCAATTCTTAATATGTGAGTTTATGACTTAACCAGGGATTGGTCAGATTAAACCTAGGCTATAAAAAGGGTGAGAAGTTACAGTTTCTGATTCCTCACTTCTTATTTTACCTTCAAAACTACTGTCTGTGCTTGAATATAACGTTCTCCAAAATCAACCATCAGTGAAGAGGGATTCACTTATATTTGGGTTTGCAATGCATATTAATTACATTGTTAGGGCTCTATTACTTTAAAGAAGTATTGTTTGGGGAAGACAGATTAGTCTGAAATAAACTCAGTCATCGCTAATTTAGGATAATTATAGAGGTCACCTAGTAGAGTCTGTTAAAAATGGTGAAGACATCTAACAAAGATTTACTTATTATTCTTGGGGTTGGGCTCTCTTAAAATTGCACCTATCGATTATCACCGAAAACAAGCCATTAAAGTCACGTCGAAAAGCAATTTTCTTAGCTGGTGGTCATGGTGGAGAAATTACAAACACAGGCCTCTAGAACAAATGACAAAACCCCGGTTCTTAATGTTATGCAAATAGATACATGTGGGGATAGAATTTCTGGTGATAGATTTCTGGTTCCAAAAGCACTGTGTGTCTAACAACAGAGAGGATGTGTTATGCAAAAGTGCCTTGGGAGAATCAAAAGTTGCTCATCTACTGATATCGAAAATGCTGATGTTGAAGCTAATGTGGACAGCTTGAGAAACGAATTGTTTCTTGAAATGTGAGTAAAAAAGGACCTTTTCCTTGGTTTCTATTATTTGATGTACTTCATAATTTTTACAGTGCATGGAAAACGAAACTATGATACTAAGTATTATCATGGACATCATATGATTGCCCTTTTTTCATCACTGCCAGTATATATATATATATATATATATATATATATATATATATATATATTCAAGTTGACCAAAGAAACTTTCTTTGGAGCTCTTCTTGGAAATTGGCAATCTCCTTCTCTGGGACTGCTGTACAGCACTGGTAAAACTTGATAGTAGTAATCACAGTTCCGGAGGTACACAGACCACCTTTCCCAGAAATAACTCTAAGCACTTTTTATCCATTGTGTCACTACTTAACATAAATAAAACCATCAGAACTAGCCAGGCTAAGTCTCTAGAGCAACAGTTTTTTAACCTGGGGTCCAATAACTTGAATGCAGACGTGACCTCTTCATTTTCACTAACCTCTCACTGAAATAGAACATTTACTTCAACTATGAGTAAAGGTATGAAACCAGAGTCATGGTTTAGCAGGAGTAGAACTATTAACACCTGTGATTGTGTCACCAGTAGAAATCACTCACAGCTATTTTCCTTCTTTTTTTTCTTTTTTTTTTTTTTTTGAGACGGGGTTTCACTCTGTCACCCAGGCTGGAGTGCAGTGACGCAATCTTGGCTCATTGCAACCTCCGCCTCCTGGGTTCAAGCGATTCTCCCGCCTCAGCCTCCTGAGTAGCTGGGACTACAGGTGTGCACCACCAATGCCTGGCTAATTTTTAATGTAATTTTAGTAGAGAAGGGGTTTCATCATATTGGCTAGGATCACTCCTGACCTGTGATCCGCCCACCTCAGCCTCCCAAAGTGCTGGGATTACAGGTGTGAGCCGCTGTGCCCAGCCAAATCACAGCTATTTTCATATCATATTGCAGTTGTGCAGACATACGGTTTATATTCTTCACTGCTAAGAAATTACGGAAGCCATCAGATCAGCTAGAAAGGTTATTTAGTGCATTAAAAAGCACATACATAACAATATCAGACATTTAAAAATATTTTGGGACCACATTTTCCCATTTCCCCTTTCCCAATATTCTGGGCTGCCTTCCACCCTGCACAGAGGACTGAGGAGTGGGCAGCGCGCTGGGGCAGCCCTCGCCGTCCTTCCAAGGTGATCCTGCACTGCAGTGGGCCTGCGTGTGTGCACCCTCGCTCTCCAATTTCCTTGCTGAGTTTTAGCACCGCTCTACATCTTTTCCTAACCTTTCAGTTTACATTTTTATGTGTTGTGCTGAGACATTCGTCTCCCTTTAAAATTCTATGTATATGGTCAGGGAGGGTGAGGTGTGTTTTAGAGAGGAAGAGTGGTTTCCGTGCTGTGGTATTTCAAAATGGAAAGAGCTTCTATGACTGATAAGCTACTCGTTTCTAATAAATACCTGGGAACTTGCCTTGCTAGCAAGCCATTTATCACAGAGGGGATTCAGTGTTGGGTGGGTCCATCTGGAACCCTTGAGAGGAGTGTCTGGGTGGTCATTTAATCTTGGGAGCATGGACCCTTCTAAAACCACAATTTTAGTCTATATCCAATTAATTGCTTTAGGTGCTTCACATGGAGATTCAGCTTGAAGTGTGTTTTTCTTCGTCTGTGTAATAAGCTTAGTGTTCTTATGAGTTTAGCGGTTGCCATTAAAATACTGATTTGAAATTCAGTTATTATCCTTTTTTGGGGGCAAGGGCGTATCTTCGGGAGTGCAGAGCTGTATGTAACTAGTAGCTTGTCTTTGGTTATGGGCAAGCACCCTGCATGCCTATCGGGAGCTATAGTGTGAGGCATTGTGTAGCCATAATAATAGGACTTGGGTTAATGGAGGGAGGCAAGTCTGCAGACCCAGACCAGAGCAGTCCTCCAAAAGCCAGACCCTCCTCCAACACGGCAGGTGACTTTCAGACCCAGAGATCCCTCCAGCTCACTTCCACTTTGGAGGAAATGCACGTACCTGTTGATGTTCATGTTGCAGTGGTTTGCAGACAAAGTATTACTGGCGGAGGTGGCTAGTCTTGAAGAACTCTCTTTCTCTCCCTGGGCCTTCTTGGTCTCCCTGTAGTTGTCTTCGATGTCACACTGTTTGGGAATAAGCTAAAGTCAATCAGCCCTGGATTTCAAGAGGTCATTATGGGCTCCCAGGCACCGACTTCCACAGAGCGAGGCCTCCTGGGAGCCCCACTCACCCAGCTTCCCTGAAGAGCAGCCTGCACAGCTGTGCCCCTGCCATCAGCTCAACAAGCAAGGATGAAATCTGTTGGTTTTACAATTAACAGCTGCTGCAGAGGCGAGGCACGACACCATGATTCAACATTTTGGGAATTCTGAAAACTGCTCTGCCGTCAACAGGACCAGAATTTAGGCCTCCCAAAGCAGGCCTGGTCTGTTTTCACTGCAGCTCCAGCGACACTCACCTTGGCATTTCTTGGTATCAGAATAAGGTACCAAGTGTGTGTTCTCTGGGATTCATGCCGTAAGGGCAGTGGTACACTTGGACTTTTCTGCTTTAAAAATTCTTGCCTCTTGGCCGGGCGTGGTGGCTCATGCCTGTAATCCCAGCACTTTGGGAGGCCAAGGCAGGTGAATCACGAGGGAGTTTGAGACCAGCCTGGCCAACATAGTGAAACCCCGTCTCTACTAAAAATACAAAAAAATTAGTGGGGCGTGGTGGCAGGCACCTGTAATCCCAGCTACTCGGGAGGCTGAGTGAGGCAGGAGAATCACTTGAACCTAGAAGGTGGAGGTTGCAGTGAGCTAAGGTCACGCCATTGCACTCTAGCCAGGGCGACAGTGCGAGACTATCTCAAAAAAAAAAAAAAAAAAAAAATCTTGCCTTTTGTGATCTGCAAGCAGAGGCAGTTATCTCTTGGTGCCTTAATTCTAGTTTACAAATACTATCCCATGACATCTTAGAATCCATAAAGTACTTTTTTCTAAAACAGTACTTTGATTGGATCCTTGTTGCCATGATTGTGTTTAATTTTATTTATTTATTTAGAGATAAGAGTTTTGCTCTGTCACTCAGGCTGGAGAGCAGTCATACGATCATGGCTCACTACAGCCTCGACCTCCCAGGCTCAGGCGATCCCCCTGCCTCAGCCTCCAGAGTAGCTGGGACTGCAGGTGTGCGCCACCAAGCCTGGCTAATTTTTTGTATTTTTTTTTTTTTTCCTGTAGAGATGGGGTTTTGCCATGTTGCTCAGGCTGATCTCAAACTCCTGGGCTGAAGTGATTCTCCCACCTTGGCTTCCCAAAGTGCCGGGATGGCAGGCGTGGGCTATCAGGCCAGCCTGTGTTTAACTTTAGATGTGTTAGGGTGCAACACAAATATGTTCGGAAAGTTCCATTTTCCATGAGAGAGCAGGAACCTAGTATGGTATCCTCAGGGTTGTCTGTAGTATTTTCCAGGAGACAAGTGCCAGCACCAAAGAGAGAAAGACTCTGACCTTCTTGCTCTGGCTGGGATTTTGCCACACAGCCTCTGCCACAGGGGATCCCAGATGCCCACACTGTAATAGTGCCCCCATGGAGGGCCCAATTTAGCTCTAGGGCTCCAGCAGGGTGAGACTCCACAAGTTTGACAGCCAGGTCTACAGGGTCCCATCTCCAGCACCCAGTACTGGGGTATTAATGCCCAGAATACCAAGTAAAGAGCACTATAAAAATGTTCTCTCACTTCTCTTGTGTCTGTGTTTAATGATGATTCATTAGATTTTATGAGTACCACCAGGTGTCAGGCTTAGTATAAATGAAGTTTTTAAAGTTAAAAATGGCCATAAGTAATACAACTATTTAAACACAGTTTATTATGGAATTTTATGTACATCTTTCTGCACATCTCTCTCTCTCTAGCAATCTCTGTATGCCTGGGCAGCTATATATATTTCCCATCTGTCTATATGTTACCAATGTCTGTCTCTGCATATTTCATGTATGTGTGTATTTCCATCAGCCTATTCATCTAGCCATCCATTCCAGAGGTAATAGCCACACTCATTCCCGGATGATTAACTGATTGATTGATTCCTATGCTCAACAAAGATTGAGCACCAGCAAGTAATAAGGAAGACAGGGTGTACGGAGAAAAACCGCAGGAGGAACAGCGGGTAGGGAATAAATGAGCTGACATGTGTTACTGACTTCCATTGTTTGAACATATTGTGTGAATCTGACAACACCCCTGCAAAGATGTCAGCATTTTCTAGATGGAGAAATTGAAGTTCAGAGAAAGTAAGGTCACCTGATTAAGGTCACCCAGGAGGTCAAGGACCCTAAATAACTTTCTGAGTCTAGTGCAAAATGAAAATGCTGGGCCCCTTGTTCGAAAAGCAAGAAAAGAGTGATGTTATAAAGCCCTCAACTAGAAAACATTTTCCTTTCTTTCAGTCTCTGTCACAGGGGTGTCTACAGTATTTGTGTTGTACTTCTTTGGGCATGGGGATACCTGCGGGTTGGGGGGCCAGTGTACCCTCTTAAGAGTCATGTCTGCCCTGGGATGAGGCATAAGTGTGCAGCCCACCAGTGTGGGTGTTCCCCTCCTGACAATCAGAGGCCCTACTTATGGTGCCCGAGTCCAGTCAGGCATTTCCCCAACAACCCACAGTGAATGGGCAGCCACCAGGGCACTGCAAGACCCCCTTTGGAATGTCTCGCTACCTGGATCAAGATTGGCCAAGAGCCATCCTATGCCTGCACCTAGGCCCTTCTTGGGGTGAGGGCAGCAATGGTCCCTGGACTAAGATGGGAAGGGCGACACTGCCTAGGGCCGGGGGTGCCAGGGGATGGAAGAGCAGGCAGAACCTGCCCTGCAGAAACAGGCAGTAGGTATGAACACATTGATTCAAAGTTCCATATGCCCCTGCACATGGGCCATCAATTTGCAGCATCACAAATTGAAAGATAAAAGGAAAAATTTCAAGATGGCAGCCACAAGCATTCAACTCCAAGGGGCCCTGTGTGATGCACACCAGTGTGGTCCCATGCATTGGGCCCATGAAAAGTTGACTCTGTAAATGGTAAAGATGGGATTTGAAGTCAGGTGACTTTGGTGTGAAAATCCACATACTTTCCATTAGATGTGAGCACTCCCAGGGCAATGGGAACCAACCACGGACGCCCACTGCAGACTAATGGCCCTGCTGGGCGAAAACTATGTTGGGGTCTCTTTATAAAATTATCTTTGCATCCATACCAAGGAAAAACAAAAAGCTGCCCCTTGAAGATATTTCTTTTCATGAGCTTTCTTGCAAGGGCTTCAAATTCTACTTTATAGGGATAAATTAGTTAATGTTATTCATACTATGTGAAGAAACACATCCTTTGGTACTTTATTTTTTTATATTATTTATTTATTTATTTTGAGGTGGAGTCTTACTTTTGCCCAGGCTAGCGTGAAGTGGCGTAGTCTTGGCTCACTGCAACTTCCGCCTCCCAGGTTCAAGTGATTCTCCCGTTTCAGCCTCCCAAGTAGCTGGGACTACAGGCGTTCACCACCATGCCCGGCTACTTTTTTGTATTTTAGTAGAGATGGGATTTCACCATGTTGTCTAGGCTGATCTCGAACTCCTGAGCTCAGGCAATCTGCCCACCTCAGCCTCCTAAAGTACCAGAATGAGAGGCGTGAGCCACCGTGCCTGGCCTGGATTTTAGAATAAATTGCTCTGGTCATAGATGCCCTTAGGTCACAAAGATGATTGTCATAAAAAAGGAGACTGTGTGCCTTCTCCACGCACACTTATAAAGTGAGGAATACATTCATTGTGGCCAGGACAAGGTAACAAGCTGTACTCCTTAATCCCCCTCTCAATCAGGGATTCAAAATAGCTGTGAAACATACGTGTTCAGTCTAACTTTTTTATTGATAAGACTAGGCTGCCTTTAGAAAACTGGAAAATATATAAACCTCAGACTGATTTCTTATTGTGACACTTTGAAGCCAAACAGCCCGGGTTCATTCCTGGTTCAGCCCCTTAGCCTACGCGACCTTGGGCAAATTGCTTTAGGGCTTCTGAGCCTCAGTTCCCTTTCTGTAAAACGGGTTTGGCAGTAATATTTGCCTCATAAAGTTATAAGGATAAAATGATTTAACATGTATAAAGTGTCTGGAGCAGCACCCATCATGGGGACCTATATACCTGTGAGCTGTTGTTACTGAAAACTTGGTCCTAAATTTGGAGCCATCCATGAGTATTGAGATCTTGGTTTGTCACCCGCTTTATTTTTCACTGTGGTAAAAATTACTTTTGAAGATACATTAACAGGAGGGGTTAAAAATCCTCAAAATTGGCTTTAATGGGTGATTAAGGCATTCCCCTGTGCAAAAACCTTTGAAATGGGCTGTGCATTCAGTGTCTGCTGCCAGAGACGCCCCATAGCTCTCCCTGTCCTTGCACTGCCTTCTCACTCCCTGGCCTCACCGCTTCCATCCCTGAGCCTGGATGTATTCAAATATCTCTCCTCTTCAAAGCCGTTTTCAGGGCCCCTCGACCTTGAAGTTCTCCTTGATCAATGCCATAGAAAGCAAAAGCTGCTGGTTCTGATGCTGCATCAGGGTCTGCTGTATTCATTTTCACCTGCCACAGCCTTGGACTTTGTGAGGCCACTGGCTTTTTGGGTCAATGAGTGATCCCATCATCAATGTCATCTCATCCCATTCCTCCCGGCAAATAGTGGGGTTCTTCATGTGTTTAGCTTTCTCACAGGCCCTGCATCCAGCTGCATGTGCACACACTAGATAAATATTTCCTATTTTGACATTCAGTGGGACAAGGCTTAATTATCTATAACTATAAAATAGGGATAATAGGCCGGGCACAGTGGCTCACACCTGTAATCCCAACATTTTGGGAGGCTGAGGTGGGTGGATCACCTGAGGTTAGGAGTTCAAGACCAGCCTGACCAACATGATGAAATCCCATCTCTACTAAAAATGCAAAAAAATTAGGTGGGGGTGGTGATGGATGCCTGTAATCCCAGATACTTGGGAGGCTGAGGTAGGAGAATCAGCTGAACCTGGGAGGCAGAGGTTGCAGTGAGCAGAGATTGTGCCATTGCGCTCCAGCCTGCGCAATAGAGCAAAACTCCCTCTCAAAAGAAAGAAAGAAAAAAAAAAAAGGATAATAATAGTACTTCCCTCACTGAGCAGTTCTAAGGACTCACCCAAATTAGATGTTAACTGCTTACAACAATGTCTGGATATACAAAGTACTCTAGAAGTGTGTGTTAGGTAAGGATGCACAAAACTCCTGTGGCAGCTTATGGTCCCAACCAGCCGCCTGTGGGTGCTCTGCCCCATGTACCCACAAGTTAAGACACAGCCCCTGCTCCCCCCCACCACCCCGACTCCCAGGCCTACCTTGCGTTTCCTCTTGGATTTTGGCAAAGTCTTTTCTGCGGGAGTGTCCGAGGTGTGGCTGGGTGGTGCGCTCTCGGAGTCCTTGGTGGCAGGGGTGCTCAAGACCCCTGGCTCCTGGGGCAGGTGTTCTGGGATCCTGGACAGGAGGGTCAGGTCGATTTTGACCCAGAGAGACCTGACCTCATCACTGTCCTTTAGAGGGGAGAGAAGTTCGTTCCGGCCAAAGGGGACCAGCGTGTAGAACTGCTCCTCCAGCTCCTTGGCGATGTCACTGGTGGTCCTGGCGTTGATGGAGCCTACAGGGGCCCTGGGACCACTGCCCCCGTTGGCAGCAGCCTCCTTCAGCCTCTGGTCGTTCCCGGAGGAGGCGGAGGCAGCCACCGCCTGTGCTTTGGACAGAGGGTACTCCTCCTGCTCGGACTCCAGGTCGGAGTCCGAGGAGGAGGACGAAGATGATGACTCTGTCTCAATAAACTCCTTGGATTTGGGGACGATCCTGCTCAGCCCCCGTGTGCGGCGCTTCTCGCAGGTCACGGAGGAGCGCAGCTCCTTGCGGTGGTTCGCTCTGCTGTTGCCGCAGGGCCTGGTTTTGGTGGGTTCCGGGGGGACCACCACGCTCGCCCCCAGCGCGTCCGCGGCCGCGGGCTCCTCGGGCCGGTGGCAGTTGGCGCCGTCCCCGGCCGAGGTCCTCTCGGTGCGCCTGGTGGGCTTCTTGCCCGCTGACCTCCGGGCGGGCGCGGGCGCGTTCTCCGTGGGCGCACAGGGCACTGCGGGCGGCGGGGCGGCTGCGCTCACCACCACGGCCACGGCCGCGGGCGGGGACTTCTGCTTCACGCCTTTACTCCCAGGGGCCTTGTTCGCTGTCCTCGGCCTCTGCTCCTCCTTGCAGGTGCTCTTGATCTCCTTGTCCCTCAGGCTGGGCTGGCAAACGTCGGGAAGTTTCCCACAGTCCTGGACATCGTCTTTCACTGGGTTGTAGTACTGATTGCTCTCTGGCCCATGGCTTTCATTTTGGATCAGAATAGGAGGCTTGTGGGGATTAACTTTGTTTAGCCATTTATCCAGCTGCCACTTGTTAGAAGATGCTGGTTCAGCCTGAAAACAGAAAACCGGTGAACAAACAAAACATCTTTCATTAAAGGCTCACTTAAAAGGGGCCTGGCTGTTTTTATCTTGACTTACTCCTCTAAGTGTATGAGCAGAAAATGAATGGGCTAGAAGCAAAAGGAAAACAGAAGCATTAAGTGTGTGCCACAGCCCCATGTGGCACTCAGGATGCCTGAATGATGCTGTCCTTACCGGCCCATGGCACTAAACGTCCTTGCAGCAGTTCGAAGTCTCTTTGGAAAAATAAGGAAAGCATTGTGCTTCCTTACAACCCATTTCCTAATACTTTCGAGGGTTAGTATAGATTTTTAAAAAAGTAATTATACATACATATGTGAACTTGAGATTCCCCAAAACTTAACTGGAGAATAGTTTAGATGCGCTGAGCATTAAATCACTTGTTTTCTTTGGCGAGACTTAAAACTTTGGGGAGATCTGAAGAGAGGACTAAGTGGAACCTATAATCCCAAACAATTATGAGTTACGTGTTGAAGGCAGGTAGGCTGTCGTTGTTTGGTGGTAGGAGCAAAGACCTTGGGAAGATGGCTTGTTTTGCGTGTAGAACTATTTCAGTGGGATTTGCACATCTTTGGCAGCCTGACTGGGTCAGTGTATCCTCAACCTGCTTCTATCACACTTTGCCACAACTACTTCAAACTTGGAGGTGAGATGGAAACCTTTCCTGCAAGCAGTTTTGCTAACTTACAGCAACTCATGAAAGTCACTGGTTTTGAACTGTGGCCTACAGGTTGGCTCTGGGGTTGAGGGTGTGGAATGGCCAGGGAATGCCCTGAAATGGATGGGAAATGGGTACATGCATTTTGTTACTGGAAGAGGTCTGCAGTTTTCAGTTGTGTCTTTAAGAGTCTATGTCTCAGAAAAGAAAAATAAGGACCAATCCAATAATTTTACAGGGAGTAAATGCTGATGTCTAAGAAAAGTTAATAAATCCAGCATTATGATTATTAAGAGAAAACAGGTGTATTGGGAAGTCTAGAATTTTGGCCAGAGTATTTTCAATTTCACAAATTGAAATCAGTAAAATATTTTGGTCAATTAAGGTGATGTGTTTTTCCTTTCCTGTGGCCTTCCACCTTTCAAATTTGTGGCATGCATTGTTTTAGGGGACACCAGATACCAGGCTAGAGTAAGACACTGCTTAGCTCCATACTTTAAACTTGATCAGTTCAAGTCTAGAGCAAATTGGGTCTGTTGCCAGAGAAAAAATATCTTAACATAATAAATTTGACCATCTGATCTTCGACAAACCTCACAAAAACAAGCAACGGGGAAAGGATTCCCTGTTAAATAAATGGTGTTGGGAAAACTGGCTAGCCATGTGCAGAAAGCAGAAACTAGACCCCTAGCTGACACCTTACACTAAAATTAACTCCAGATGGATTAAAGACTTAGACGTAAGACCTAACACCATAAAAACCCTAGAAGAAAACCTAAGCAAAACCATTCAGGACATAGGCATAGGCAAGGACTTCATGACTAAAACACCAAAAGCATTGGCAACAAAAGCCAAAATAGACAAATGGGACCTAATCAAACTCCACAGCTTCTGCACAGCAAAAGAAACAGTCATTAGAGTGAATCTGCAACCCACAAAATGGTAAAAAATTTTTGCGATCTACCCATCTGACAAAGGGCTAATACCCACAATCTACAAAGAACTAAAACAGATTTACATGCAAAAAACAAGCCTATCCAAAAATGGCAAAGGATATGAACAGATACTTTACAAAAGAAGACATATATGAGGCCAACAAACATATGAAGAAATGCTTATCTTCACTGGTCATTAGAGAAATGAAAATCAAAACTACGTTGAGATACCACCTCACGCCAGTTAGAATGGGGACCATTAAAAAATCTGGAGACAACAGATGCTGGAGAGGATGTGGAGAAATAGTAACACTTTTACACTGTTGGTGAGAGTGTAAATTAGTTCAACCATTGTGGAAGACAGTGTGGCGATTCCTCAAGGATCTAGGAATAGAAATTCCATTTGACCCAGCAATCCCATTACTGGGTATATATCCAAAGGATTATAAATCGTTCTACTATAAGGACACATGCACACAAATGTTCATTGCAGCACTGTTTACAATAGCAAAGACGAAGAATCAACCCAAATGCCCATCGATGATAGACTGGACAGGGAAAATGTGGCACATATACACCATGGAATACTATGCAGCCATCAAAAACGATGAGTTCGTGTCCTTTGTAGGGACATGGATGAACCCGGAAACCATCATCCTCAGCAAACTGACACGAGAACAGAAAATCAAACACCGCATGTTCTCATTCATAGGCAGGTGTTGAACAATGAGAACACATGGACACAGGGATGGGAGCATCACACACTGAGGTCTGTGCAGGGGGAACTAGGGGAGGGACAACGGGTGGTGGGGAGTTGGGGAGGGATAACCTGGGGAGACATGCCAGATACAGGTGATGGGGAGGAAGGCAGCAAACCACACTGCCATGTGTGCACCTATGCAACAATCCTGCATGTTCTTCACATGTACCCCCAAACCTAAAATGCAATAAAATACACACACACACACACACACACACACACACATACACACACATACATGTTAAAACAACATAGTAAATTTGAAAAGGTTCCTCTGAAATAGCAAGGTTTGTTTTTCAACAGCGAGGCCTGTATTAAGAGCAGAACTCAGGGCTCTGGGCCTCACCTCAGGCATTAAGGATCTGAGGAGGGGAGGAGAGTGCTCTATCACAGACTCAGGGGCGCTGGCTGAGTCCGGGGCGCAGCTCAGGGAAATAGGAAGCCTCTGATGGACTAGAGTGGGCTGGGGCCAAGAGAAATTGACCACAGAGCATGGGGATCAGGCAACCAGAGCTATAGCAGGGACCGTGGACATCCAGCTGGTTGTCCCAAAGCAGATGGGACCAACCGCACTTCAGGGCAGACTGGCACAGGGTGTCTGGTGACTTGGAGAAGCAAGAGAATTTCAGTGGAGGCCAGAATGAGGACGGAGGCCCCTTCCCTGGGCTGTGAGGACGCAGAAGCCATCGTAGAGTGCAGGTGGGGAGGGGGGATCCCCTGGCCCTGACACGGATTCTGATCTTTGACATGACTTTTTTTTTTTTTTTGGCTTGTTTTCATGCTGCCAAACAGAACCAGGGGCTCCAGAGAAATATGCAAATGAGTAGAAAGATAGATCTTTTTTACACCTATAAGTTCTATGTAAATCATGACCTCGCTTTATTTGGCTTCTCTAGAGAAAGGGAACATGGGAAACCTATGGAGCACGGCCAGTGCATGTGGCAGTGGTAGATGCCCTCCCATGGCCAGAGAAAGCAGGACAGTGGGACACAGAACAGCTCCTTGGCCAAGAGGGAATCCCTTATCTCCCCTGAGATTAGCTGAGAGTGCCTGAAAATTAATTTGGTGACAAAAATCAACGACTTCTAAATTTGTCTCCCGCAACCCCCATTTCTCTCATTAAGTCAGTGCCTTTGCCTGTGCCTCAGCTTCCCTAGACAAATGGGGCACAGTAAATCTGAATGGATGCTGAAGGGGCCTCCTGCAGAAAGGGTACACATACTGGAAAGGGCACACACACATATGGCAGAACACAGCCCTCACGCTGGCCCCGCCACTGCGTTTCACGCTAGCTCTCCCTCACTGCCACCATCCGGAGCCTTCTACAGCTCATATCTCCCATGTGAGAGAACGTGGAAGTCTGTTTGTGGCCCAAACACAGCTGCATATGGGAGAATTCACAATGACACTTCCTAGCAGGAGCATTAACAGAAGGGCAGAATTTAATACATTTAGTACAGGCCCACTGTATGGTATGCTTTAGGGTCATTTTTTTCTGCATTTCACAGCTGACGAAATCAGTTTGAAGTACCACTTTCAACACATCACTAAATCATACTTTTTTTCTCAAGGATCTACAATAACCTCCTATTGCCTCTCAAACAAAATCCAAATTCCTGAGGCTGGCGTTCACGTTCACGGGTGTCCATTATCTTGCAATCATCTTTCATTGCCAGAATACCTACACTTTAACTCCCACTTCACATGTATTATCTCATTTAATCTTTACAGATAAGAACTGTTATCACCCTTAACTAGCAGATGAGGCTCAGAGAGGCTAACGGACGTACCCAGAGCTGCACAGCTACTGGCCTCCACCAAGACTGACTTTGTACTCATCTAGCTTTAAAGAGCAACGGTCTCCACTGCTGCATCGCCGTGTCTCCAAACTACTGTTTGGCATAGCCTCGTGAAAGGGAGACTGCATTCCTTTGCGAAATGTCGGTCTTCAACTTACAATGACAGAATTAGATCTGAATTTTGGTGAAAACACCAAGAACACTGCAAACAGTACTTGCTGCCCTCTGTTGCACTCAATCGCGTTGCCTTTTGATGTTTATATTTGTTTCATATGTATATATGTCTTGTGTCTTCAAAAAAGCCAAATGTTCTTTCATGTGAGGGGCAGGTCTCTTGTTTCTTTAGTATCCCTTGCAGCATCTATACTAGGTCAGGGAGGCAGTATAGATGGCTCACCTCCTAATAAGAGCAACTCACAATGAGCTGTCAAGCAAATTGTGTCATTTATTCCTTTATCATCGTCATCCTACCCCCCCCCAACCCCGCCACAACCTCACAGATTAGGCCGGGCAGGAATGCGTGCCATTCTGGGAATGAGGCAATTGTGGCCAAAGAAGCTTCAAGGACTCAGAATTTAGTAGCGGTGAGGAGGGGAAACTCAGGCTGCAGACACCAGTCCGCTGGTATGTGGCTGGCCACAGTCTGCTTCCTGAGCTGTCCACCTAGGGTTTCTGCTCAAAGTTCTTGTTTGTTTGCTGGCTCGCTGCTTTATATTTTCAGCCATGACTCTCCTCCCTAACTGATCTTCCCTCTGACTCATGCACCAGATCTTCACCATGCACTCTGGCCCCGCTTCATCTAAATCCTTCAAGTACCCACTGCCAGAGACTGCGTAGGCACCTAATAAATGAGAAGCTTGTTGAATCAGTGAGCAACTTGAATCACATTTCTGCTGATTTTTAAGAATAATCTAGGGCAGCATTTTCCAAAATGTGCTTTTAGCTCATCTATCCCACAAAGTTGGGTTTCCAGAGTCAAATCAATTTGGGAAGTGCCATGATAGAAAACACAGTATACCTGAGCAACAGTTAAGGGCTGGGTGATGATTCTGCAGGTAAAGAGGTGGGATAAACCTGTTTTATCCCAGATCTCCTCAAGATTATGTGTCCAGGCTTTTTTCTTCACACAATATTTATTACTTGTCCAACAAAGGTCGAGGGAGCTCCGTGTGTGGGGTCAACGTGTTAGCTGAGTGGAAAAGCAGCTTCCCCTGCAAATCTCTGGTGTAAGAGGCTGTACAATGCTCGGAAAGCAGATTAGATTCCAGTGAGAAGTAGTCTGAGACCAATGAAGCCCACATCATGACACAGAGAGGTCCCCTCCACGCTACGCAGGAACATGGCATTACCATACTACAGTGATTTACATGAAACAAACTGGCTCTCAACACACACAGCCAGAAAAGACATCTACCCAACTCAGCTGAGCCCAGTGGGTTTTCTGAGTGCTGGCACATGGTGGAGAGAATGCAGGGCGCCTCCTAGGCCCACAGCAGGATGTTACAGCAGTGGGAGTGAGGAACAGAAGCTTTCTGCTTCAAAGCAGCACACATGGATCTGAGCAGCGGAATGTGAGGTGCATGGCTATGAAGAGCCCGACTGTCATGTGCGGTTCAGGAAAAGGAGTCTTACTGCTCTCTCTAAGGTGACCTGAGCCAGCGCTGCCACAGAGGCTGCAGAGGACATGCAGGGTGATGTTACTTCCCGCCTTTGTCATTTGCAGTCTGCAAACTCATTTTCTTCCTAAAGGGTGTATGCATCTGTATTAGCCTTAGGAAAAATGTTAGAATAACTTTCCTTTTATTCCAACAAATACATTTCTTTCCTGCAGAAAGAAAGAACGGGCAGTGTGGCTAATACATCACCTGCCGCTTCTGCGGTCCTCTGCGTAGGGAAGCCAGGAATTCAAAACCACACGTGGCCTCAGATGACTTAAACTTTGAGGATTGATTCCTCTAGGAGGCTCTTGCCCCATCTCCTTAGCGAGGGGCCTCTGACAGCTGCCGGAAGAAATGACAAGAGCCTCCTTTCATCACTCAGGAGTTCAAGTCTTTGTAATTATCTCAGTGACATTTAGAAAGCATTTGCTTAAAGCACTTTATAGCTGTACTGCTCTTAAATGAGGTTTCAGCCAACACAGAAGCTCTAGGACCTACATTTTGGCATGAAAATAAGATTGCACATTCATGAATTTAAGCTGCAAAGTCGCAAGGAGGAGCCTGGATAGGTGATCTTCACAGACACACCCATTTTTTGGACATGTCCCCTGCCTGCCCTGTCCTTGCCCTGTCCCTGGGACTCAGCTATTTCTTATAACTAACTATTCTGGAATTTCTTCATGAAGTATAGCATAACTCCTCTACTTTAGTAAACTCCTGCATTTTTTCATTTCGAATCATCCCTATTAGAATGTCAACTATGAAGATAGGGACATTTTCTGTCATATAATTGCCGTATTCCAGAGCCAAGTACTGTGCGACCAATGCTCAGTAAATATTTACTGAATGAATTCCGAATGAGCGAATGAATTAAAGAATGGGTAAATGAAATTATGCTGAAGGAATAGCAATTTAGTTTCTGGGAAAAGCCAAGGTTATGTTACCCTAAGGTTTTCAAAGGTTAATGTTGCTAAGAGCCTTCCCCTTATACAAAGGTAGATGGATGGATAAATAGATGGACAGATAGATGGACAGGCAGAGACAGAACCTCATGGGAAGGAGAGCGTAGAGAGATGGCTTGGTTCAGGACGAACGGAGAGTCCTGAGTCAGGGCAGAAAGCTGCCAAAAAGAAAATGAGGGCTATGAAGCAACAAAATCTCCCTGATTTCACAGTGCTCCTGCAAAAAGCCTCAGCCTCCTGAAAGAAGTGGGGAGGAGAAAAACCTGACGGAATTGAAGAGCCACTCTGTGAACCTGAGATGGAAACACCACTGCTTTCAAGTGTGTTAACGCCTAAGGCATGGCTATAAAAGATGGGGCGTGGGGGGCTGACTGGGCCCATTAAGGTGCTCCCCTCCTACTGCAATGGTTTGTAGAAGTGGGTTTGGTTCCATTTCCGGGGCTATTTAGAAATTTGCCCCCCTCAAATAATACAGAGGGTTGTAAGTAAAAAATTAAACCTGACAATCATGGTCATGTCAAATGTGTACACGCTCAAGGAGAGTGTGTATTTTATTCCTTGTTTAGAAATTACAGTCTATCCTTAGAGCTCTGCAGCCTGGAGAAGTTTCTCCTGGCCCTCTCCCAAGAAACCTCATGCTCTGAATTACTATTTAATTTTCCCCTTTCTACTTTAAAGTAGAAATAGCAACGGTTTTTATTGGTACCTTCTAATGTTTTTGTAGGAGGCACCTAAATCTTCCACATAGATACTCATCATAGCTATAAAAGGTTTCATTATTATTTGTAGGCTGATGCTAATTTTTCTTTTTATATTTTCACAAAGAAAACACAGTTAAGAAGGTTTTATTAATATTTATAGCCCTCGTTCTTCTGATCCGTGACAAACTGCAAAAAGTTAAGAATCTGACCATGTCCAATCCATAAAACCCCTTTCCCTGTGACTTATGGGTGGCCACACTTCCCAGGCAGTAAGCGGCCCTGTCCAGCGACTGCCCTGGCTGACCCGGAGGGAGACCAAGGCCATAGGTTATTTCCTATCAATGATGTTTACAGCATACTTGGACATTTCTGAAAGTCGAGATAGAGATTTGGGGGCAATGAAAGTTGATGTTTCTGTACTTCAAAGGGAGCTGTGTAATTAGGAAACCGTGAGGAGGGGACAGTGTGGGGAAAATGTGGAGCCCGAAGCCCACAGCCTCCTCCTGTCCAGCACCTGGCTTGGGGGTCTGCAGGAGGGAAGAGACCTGCAGCAGTGTGACGGCTACAATGCCAGGACTTGCTATCCTCACAGAGACAGAAGTGGGCAGAGGAGGGGCCTGAGCCAGGCAGTGCTTACCTCGGGGCTGGAGAAGTGGGGGGGCTTGCTGCCCTCACTCTCGCTGGAGCTGCTCTCGGTCTCTGAGTCGGATCCGGAGCTGCTCTCCGAGTCGCTGGAGGAGCTGCTGCTGCCGCTGCTGCTGCTGCTACTGCTGCCCTTGCTGGAAGGCACTGAGGCTCTGCAGTTGGGCTGCTGGACCACGGCGCTGCCAGCCCGCGAGGCCCCCGGGAAGGAGAGGGAAGGAAAAAGCCAAGTGAGCAAACAGGAAAACACCATCCAAGCTGCCATGCACCCCAAGAGAGAGGAGGCACAAAGCCCACACATCTGTCAACCCTGACCTGGAACTCAAAGAGCAGGCATCGAGGTCAAATCATCCTAAAGGTTAAAGCAACTCATATATAGAATAAAATCAGGAGTGAAATTGGTGCCCCTTGGTAGACAGGCGCTGGTTATTTGTGTGGCTATTTTGGAAGGGAAGGTAGTATGACATCCTAATGGCTGTTTCTATTTTGCTGCTGTTCTGGGAATGGCTTTTCAAATGCATCCCCAAATCCAATCATCTACAAAAAATGCAAGGAAATCCAAAAAGCTTCAACTATTTTGCAAAGTGTGAAAATGACTGCTTTATTTTTGCCCTAGAGGAAAATGCAGCATGATGGCAGGGATTCGGCAGAGGGTTGTCAGGAAGGGCACAACGTTCTGCACTGACCATTCATGGCCTGCTGGAAGGTTCCAGAGACTGACAGACTATCCAAGTTAATGTCTTGCTTCCTCCCTTTTCCCACCTGTAGTTGACTGCTGCAGTGATTACAGGTGGTGGCATGTTGTTACAAACAGTAACCTTCCTTTGAGCCCTTTCCTAGAGAACTGCAGATCCCTCACAGACACACTTTTGTGTGTTCTAGACTTTAAAATTCAATCCCAGTGCTGTGGCTTATATGAAGTGCATTTCACATTTACACGTGATGCTTATATCCATGCTGAAATTTGCCAGAAAGTCATTACATAGTCAAAGATAACAAGAAAATTGACTGATGCTTTCCAATAGTAATTAACCATAAAAATTCAAATAGCACACATCCACCCAGAAAGCGTTTGAGTGAAAAAGAAAATTTCAGTACTCACATAGTATTCAACATCTTCAAAGTCCTTTATTAACAAAATTGAAACACACCTTAATGTGTTCTTTTGAGGTCAAGCTCTAAACACCAAAAATGCCGGTCACTCTTGTATGCTGAGTCAGCAAATATCTACTTCCTTCCAACTGTGACCAGTGCTTCCATAGGACCAAGCATCAGTGAAGGCCAGGGGCCAGGGAGCTTGTGAGAGTTTATGGTCTCAAGTGCAAAGCAGCCTGGACAAGGTAAAGGACTCCTTTCACCCATCCCTAAAATCTTTGATACATGCTTTGCCCAAGGTGGACTTTCATAAATCCTGGGTATGGGGGTGGAGATCGAGGTAATACTCATTGGAGATTTGTTTCTATAAAAACCACCAGAAAAGAAACTATCTTGCAGTAAATCTAAAAATAAAAGCATCTTTTGGAACAGCAGGGTTAGGGGAACCAGAGTTTGAACATAACTTTCCCTAGTGGGGTTTTTATTTCTTCCACCAATGTCACGGTCCATACTGATTGTCTGACAAAATTCTTCAGCATCAGACAACATCTGCACGTTCATGCCTTGCCTGAGCTGCAGCGATTTCTTTTCTAGCCTGTTATTTGTGTCTGGAATTGAGTGAGGGATCCTGAATCTTAAGACAGAGTAGGGCAAGGGACAGTTAGAGCTCAGGGACTGTAATATTTCTTTCCTTCCTTATGAACAAAAATCCGTTCTTTCCTGTTGGCTGAATTGAGATGGTTACTATCAATGGAATAATAAAAAAAGACTATTGAATTCTGACTGCACATGAACATCTGGGATCCATGCTAATAGTTCGTCGAATTTGACAGAAACAAGCAATGGGGAAAGGATTCCCTATTCAATAAATGGTGCTGTGAGAACTGGCTAGCCATATGCAGAAGATTGAAACTGGACCCCTTCTTTACACCATATACAAAATCAACTGGAGATAGATTAAAGACTTAAATGTACAAACTAAAACCATAAAACCCCTGGTAGACAACCTAGGCAATACCATTCAGGACATATAAACGGGCAAAGATTTCATGACAAAGATGTCAAAACAATGGCAACAAAAGCAAAAATTGACACATGGGATCTAATTAAACTAAAGAGCTTCTGCACAGCAAAAGAAACTATCAACAGAGTAAACAACCCTCAGAATGGGAGAAAATTTTTGCAAACTATGCATTTGAGAAAGCTCTAATATTCAGCATTTATAAGGAACTTAAACATTAATTTACAAGAACAAACAACCCCATTAAAAAGTGGGCAAAGGACATGAACACTTTTCAAAAGAAGACACACATGCGGCCAAAAAACATATGAAAAAAAGCTAAACATCACTGATCATTAGAGAAATTCAAATCAAAACCACAATGAGATACCATCTTACATCAGTTAGAATGGCTATTATTTAAAGTCCAAAAATAAAGGTGTTGGCGAGGTTGTGGAGAAAAAGGAACGCTTATACACTGCTGGTAGAAGTGTAAATTAGTTCAATCATTGTGGAAGCCAGTGTGGCGATTCCTCAAAGACTTAAAGATAAAAATACCACTCAACCCAGCAATCCCATTATTGGGTATATACCCAAAGGAATATAGATCATTCTATCATAAAGACACATGCACACATATGTTTACTGCCATACTATTCACAATAGCCACACTATTCACAATAGCCAAACTATTCACAATTCTATGTTAAAACATAGAATTAACCCAAATGTCTGTCAGTGATAGACTGGATAATGAAATGTGGCACACATATACCATGGATTACAATGTGACTATTAGAAAAAAAGACTATGTTCTTTGCAGGGACATGGATGGAGCTGGAGGCCATTATCCTTAGCAAACTAACACAGGAACAGGAAACCAAATACCACATGTTCTCACTTATAAGTGGGAGCTAAATGATGAGAACACATGGACACAGAACCACACCAGTGGGGCCTATCGGAGGTGGAGGTTGGGAGGAGGGAGAGGATCAGAAAAAATAAACTAATGGGCACTAGGCTTAATACCTCGGTGATGAAATAATCTGTACAACAAACCCATATGATACAAATTTACCCATGTAACAAACTTGCACATCCTGCACATGTGCCCCCAAACTTAAAAAAATAGTTTTTTGGCATGTCCCAAAACACTGTGGGGGAGACACACAAAAATAAACAAAAAAGCAAAATGACAAATGGCTCAAAAGTGTCCTTGTTAAAAGAATGCGGGTGGAGGAAAGATATGTGTTTCTCTGCCACCCTCTGGAGTGACATCTGCCAAAGATTAGCAAATGAAGATGAATAAAGAATATTCTGATTGGTGATCAAAGCCACTGGACATCGTAGAAAACCAATCAGTACATTCTATCTGCTTTCACTCAACAAAAAACATGATGCTGGTTCTGTGTGCACTGGGCTTCTGTGTACAGCAGAGGCAGCAAGGTGTGTGGGATTCCTTGTGGCTTGTACCACAAAGTGAGTGTCTTTAAACAGTGTCCACTCAGCAGTTACCATGCTGCCTGTCTTTAATGGCTGCGGTCCTAAAGTGATGAGGCACCCTAGCCCAAGGAGGCAGCATCTCTGATCTGAATTGTATTGGCAGAAAAACCTTACACTTTAATGTTTTCCTTTCTTAAATCAGGAAAATCACTTAAAATGACAGTTTTACTGGCATAACTACTATTTGTTTTCAAAACAGGTGAGAGAGCCAAGAGTTTAGGTTTTTCTTCATACGTTACTTGTAAGGGTTGTGAAACTTACGATGTCTGGATTAAATACACTCATGTTTCAATGGTGCTGGTAGAGAGTACAGTATGTATTATGTCTAGAAACAATCATGGCGAAGATGGGAACAGATTATCTTGGAAGGGCGCTGGTGGCTCAAGTTGTGGGATCAAGATCACTCTCCCCATTTCCACGAAAGGCAGTTGCTCTAAACCATCCTTGCATGGAGCCTTGGGGTCAGTTGACCATTCTGGCCTCAATGTAGTGACTGCTCCCGTCGTGGGTGCTCACAGCCGCTTTACCCATCATGGGGCAGCTGCAGCAGCAAGGGTGGCAGAGCCAAGATGAGGAAGCCAGGAATGGCCCTCCCTGCAGACGAGTACTAGTGAAAGGATGAACTTGGCTAAGACACATATACACACATACACATATGTCTGTGGAATTTGGTGTTGCTCAGGCTGGAGTGCAGTGGCAATCATAGCTTACTGCAGCCTCGAATTCCTGGGCTCAGGCAATCCTTCCTCCTCAGCCTCCCAAGTAGTTGGAACTACAGGCATGTACCACCACACCTCGCTAATTTTTGCATATATATATATATATATATATATATATATATATATATATATATAAAGACAGGCTCTTTCTATGTTGTCCAGGCTAGTCTTGAACTCCTAGCCTTGAGCAATCCTTCCACCTCAGCCTCCCAAAATGCCAAAATGCTGGGATTACAGGTATAAGCCACTGCACCTGGCCTAGGCTTTATATATTTAAAATTACAAACTGAAAAGTTTAGTGTGCCAATTGGTTTTCATGTTTACATACCAAAGATACTTTAAAAAATTAACTTAAGCCTGGGCAACATAGTCAGACCCTGTCTCTACCAAAAAACAAACAAACAAAAAACAAATTAGCTGGGTGTGGTGGCATGTGCCTGTGGTCGCAGCTACTCAGGAGGATTACTTGAGCCTGGGAGGTAAGGTGTGATTGTGCCACTGCACCCCAGTCTGGGTGACACAGCAAGGCTCTGTCAAAAAAGAAACGATAGTGGAATTTTTCCTGAAGTGATAACATGGACACCTTGGACAAGTTTCAGCATAACACCTACCAACTTCTTGGACCCAGTGCCATCTCATGAATGGTGCCATTGACAGCAGCCATGAAACATTATTAAGATCATGGAATAAAAGTCTTTGTGTAGCCAAAGCTTAGCACAGTGCCTGGCATATAATAGGTGTTCATATATGATTACTGAATGAAAAAGTAAAGGAAAAAAATCACTGGGTTAATAAGTTTTTAAAAAAGAGACTGAACCTTTCGAAAAGGTTATAATCTCTCTTTTCCAATTAAAAATATGTTAAG